AAGTGTGAGAACACTTGAAATTGAGGAAGCAGTGCTGCACGAAGTCAAAGAACATCCTGAAACGAGTACGAGGAAGATCGCTAGACACTTAAGTATTTGCCATAAAATTGTTTGGAGAATTTTAGTGGATTTTTTGTTATATCCTTACAATATTTTAAGAGTACAGGCACTTCCCATTGATTTTCCAAGGCGTGTGACCTTTTGTCAGTGGTATCTTCAAAAAAGTACACAAAATCCACAATTTGAATCACGGACGAAGCTAATTTTTCTCAAAAAGCTATTCAAAATTTCCACAATAATCATTTGTGGCCAGAAGAAAATCCCTATGCCGTAACCGAAACCCAGTTCCAACACCAATTTTCGGTTAACGTATGGGCAGGAATTATTGGCAACCACTTTATTGCCGGGACCACTTGACGGACAGACGTACCTCAATTTTCTTCAACAACAATTGCCTTTGCTGTTCTGTTGATAATAAGAAACAATATGTGGTACATGCATGATGGTGCACTAGTGCATTTCAATGTAGCGGTTCGTAATTATTTACAAACTGATTATCCAAATCGTTGGATTGGCCGCGGTGGGCCCCAAGAATGGCCACCAAGGTCCCCATCCTCAACAGTTTAGATTTCCTCTTGTGGGGCTGTCTTAAGACACTAGTGTACACAAGTCCCATTAACACTGTAGAGAAATTAAGAGAAAGAATAGTTGCAGCTTGTGATAGAATAAAAAACACTACAGGGACATTTCAACGAGACGCAATTCCATGAGAAGGAGGGTTCCGCCCTTCAGCATGCATACTAACTGAAGGGGGCCATTTTCAACAATTTTTGTAATCATTTCGTTGGTTTTAACGTTATGTTCATATTGTCAGTTGATGTTGTTCGTTACCCCTAATGTATTTAATTTTTCCAATTAAATTATTAATAATTTTGCAAGTTAGGCAATAGAACGATTTTTATTTTTTTATTCAAAAATGGCGCATCGAAGAAAAGCAACTCAAGCAAGATCATTTCTTTTAAATTGAATGGGCGATTCAAAAATAATTTTTATTTGACAAAAAACCATTGGCGTACCATTTTTTCTTAAAAAATATCGAAGTCAATACCTGTACGCACGCCACTGTTAAAGCTAAAAATTATTTTTGCATTGAAAAATATGCAGCTTTATCAACTTTCACTACATACTAAATATCAGTGAAATATCTGAAGCGATTCTGAAAATATTAATTAATTTCCATTTTTTTCCTAAAACTTCAACACCCCGAGTTGTTGTAAGGAAACGTTTTTGGACCATAGTTTATAAAGCAAGCTAACATTAATTTTTTATGTAGATTCTAACCCTTAAATATTCGCAAATCATTAAGCAACACCCTGTATACTATTCCTTGATAGAAAGTCATCTCATGTAGGTACGGTATAACAGTGTGTTGTCCGGCAAACAAAAAACATCTAAATCAACTTGAAATAATGCGAAAACAAATATTGAATATAACCAACCAAAAACTTATCCATCTGATGAACCAGTTTGCAAAGAAATTACGAGATACAGACGAATAGATGGATTTTATTATCATCTGATATCAAAATCGAAAATTTTCGATATAACTTGTTCTTCTATGACATGGCAATTTATTTTTGTAATACTTACACTTGATGTGGCTTAAACTGATAATAAAAGATTGTCTTCTTGAGAAGAAAACTTCATTAAGTAACTAGTAAGTTTAAAACGTGTTTTATTTTGAAAACCCAGCGTTTTCTTAATGGCATACTATGCACATAGTGTTAACCTTGTTTAGAGATGTCATCAAAATTGTATTTTTTGAGTTATAAAAGTGTATCAAGTTGTGTATATGCCGTAGAGCATCTAAAAAGCAATATCTCCAAAGAGAAAAATGAAATTTTGTAAGATCTGTACGTAAATTTTGGTATCGCCAGTCGAACATTTAGTCACAAATACGGATATTTCTCAAGTTCGCTGAACAGGAACTATTTAAATTGTGCTTTTTCATTGCAATTACACACAGTAATCGTTGCAGAAAGGTTAAAGGTATTTCTAATAGCACCGTCTATTAAGTCATCGTTAACAGAAAGATATTAATATAACGATATTTTGAATTATGCATATAAATTCGAAGTAATTTTGTGGTTTTTCATCGCGCGTCTGGATTTTCATAGCCTAGAGTATGTGCAATAAAAAGCGTAATTTATATTGTTGTAAATATAGTTATATAGACAGCCGTAAAGTTATATTTCTATGCGAAATGCATGAAATTATTTTAAACTTGGCCTTCTCGATTTACTGGATAACGGTCTCCTCATCACTCATCGAGATCCTTAACTATCAACTCACTACGTAATACAAAGGGTTCTATTAAAGTTTCGCAATATGACTTAACAAACGGACGCAGGAGACTGCATGTGACTACATGTTGAGAGATGTCCATGAGTGCATAGTAGCCACCAACAGCACGTCTGTTGATTTAAGTTGTTCATTCGTATTGACAATGTTAAGTGCGGGCTATGGCACCGTGGTCACGTAGTGATGTAAGGGCAGTTTTACGCTATAACTTTACGCGTGGTTTAAGCATAAACCCAGTGCTTAGAAGAAATGACGCTTGCATTAAAGGATGATTGTCCTCATCGTATTCAAGTGGTACAGAGAATTCTGTGTTCTCTTTAGCTACCGCATCGTCTGAGAGAAGAGCAGAAGTCTCGTCGTACGACTTGATGCCGAAAGATGCTGAAAATCGTGCCAGGTGACGAGAATTGGCTCTATTATTATTAATAATAATAATAATAATAATTTATTCGTCCTGTGGATCACAAAGTGATATAGGATAAGTCAATTGAATATTAATATAAAATGAATTGCCTACATATTCAAAACATCTAATAAAAACACGAAGTGTATAAACATGAAAACGAATTAAAAAACAAATTAACAAATTAAAATTGAACAATACATTAAAACAATTAAAAAAGACTATCACTCATTAAAAACTCTTCTATAGAATAGGAAGCTTTATTTTGAACAAATTTAATAAATAAAGTTATATCGCAAAGCTTTTATAGTAAGTACACTTTGTACTAAAACAAAATCGCATGGCACCATGGATTGAGGATGCCAAGAAATTAGTAGACTAGTGGAACACAACAAGAGGTGTGCTACAACATATCAAAAGTCTACCCTATGCTATGTAGAACATCAAAATTAAGTTTGATCAACAAAGTTCGACTATACAAGATGGTTATTAGACCAGCGATCACTTACGCACGTGCGGCTTGGTGTTTTCTCGCCAAAACGCAGCCTGCAGGTTTTGCAGAACAGAACCTTGCGTACAATCACTAAAGCCCCATGGTATGTTTCCAACGAGACCCTTCACAGAGACCTTGACATCCCTTACCTAGGGGACTACATCAAACAACAATCGCAGCTACGTTATAGTCAAGCGGAATCGGATAACAACCCTTTGTTGCGCGAGTCAGTAGATTACACAGTCCAGCAAGTTCGCAAGCACACAAGGCCACGACTCTCACTGAATAAAATTAAATCGTGCGACTTTAGGTCCAACCAAAATTATAATTTTCTTCAACAAACAATCCCAAAATTAATTTTAGGATCAATTTAAAATTGCCGAATACTAACTACCAATGCCAAGGCACCCCTCAAATCGATGTACTTCTTTTTTCTTTGCTCTTCCCTCCTTCCTTCCTTCCTTTCTTCTTCTCTTCTTTCTCCCTGACTTTGTTTGGTATCTGGGCAACCAGACCTGACAGTCCTACTGACTTACAAGACTTCAACCAAGAGAAAGGGTCCAACCGACTGCTCTGACAGACAATGACGAATAGATATCAAAAGTCAAGTCAATGACAAGACAGGAACACATGGTCCTGTCAAAAGAATGAGTATTCACCTATTAAGTTAATTTTGGCTAGCCTTGAGCATAGTAGGGATTTCAATCCCGCAAAACAGAATCTCGCTGTTCACGACAGTTTAAAAATTGGCGCTAAATAAGAATTCTTGACATTATTTTGTATTTAGACATCGTTTTGCAGGTACCTTCTTGATGATATGAATGATAGGTAATGTTTGCTAATGATGAATTTTGCTTTGATCCAAAATATATATACGTAAGTATAGGCATATAAGTACGTTATTTTGGAGTTGTATCAACAATCCCAAAAACGTAAACCGGGTTCTTGATAATTGAAACCGAATTTTGCTGTCTCAAACTTGGTAGTACTCGTTTATTGCTGCCTCGCCAATAGGAGGGGTAAGTTTTATAACCGCGAAAAGCGTCAATGTTGCCAACTGGTGAGGAAGTACTGTCACTTCCAGCTGGGGCCAAAAAGCTAATTTCCCAGGGGACAACGTACAGGTCTTACGAATACCTTTTACCCGCGGAAACTGTGCGATTCAAATCGGTCCAGACACGGTCTGACCAACGCTACTCCCCACAGCATGCCTTCGGATGCCCAAGAGTTGTTTACTCTACGGCATGGCAGATCCTGATTTGGGATGGCGAGGTGGTAAGTTCCGGCATCCCTAGCTACCAGCCTTTACAAGGAAAACCAAATGGCTTGAGCTCAATATGTTCGAGAAAAAAGCGCGAGAAGTGTCTATCAACACACGTTAGAAAGAGATAGAAGCCGGCTGAAGGCGGATGTCGTCATCACTTTGCCTAGCAACGGTGGCGCAGGTATCTAGCTGGCTTCTATGTGTTTCTAACAGATGTGTCTATACACACTCCTCTCTCGTACACATTGAATTCAAGCCGTCAGACAAATTTGGTTCTCATTGTATAACCACGAGGTCACGATAGTGTCGGTTGGGTCATGGGGAAGAAATATTAAACAAATCAATATTATAACGGAGAACTTCAGAATGATCTATTGAAGTATGAGTATTTTTGCATTAGCATACTTCTGATTATGGATTATCCATACACAGGCGATTAGTATTGTTACTAATAAAGCCCATTTATTTTTCATTTTCAGCGATACTAATTCTGCTAGCATTATTCAGTCACGTAAATAGGTAAGTGTAATTTTAGATTAGTAAGTCTCCATTTACTGTTACTGATTGTTTAACCATAATTGCGGATTGAATGAAAAACGTAACACGTCACTGAATTGACTAGGCGTATTTATACTTTAATTATTTTAATCTCAACTGTTGTCCTGGACACGGCATAAGTTTTGTTCCATGATAACTAAACCCTGGCCTGACTACTCCTAATTTCAAAAAAATATATACTGCAAACTGAGAAATTATTATCCAACTAGTTTACGGTAAATGATGAATCTCAAAACGCACTTTCTCTGCCCTTTGGCCTCTAAAGTCGCATTCTGGAGCTACCTGATTTACCACTGGTGACAATTGAAAAGAAAGTCTTTATTGTTCTTGAAACAGTTTTTCTGCCCTGGTTTTGGAACTCACCTTCCGGCATGGCCACAACGAAGCTCATTAAGTATATGCCTAACATTATCACTAATGACAAAATGTGTTACCGACACCTCCACCTATGATGACATATTAAATATTAACGACTATGGTCAGGATATTTAGATGCGTTGACGGTATCTGCTTTATTATATATTTTGAAAATATGTAAAATCTCTTCGACTATTCTACTTTTGGCATATTGGAATAGTAAGCAAAAAAAACATAGGTGTTACATATGTTGTAGAACATTTTATTGGATAAAAAGAAGCTAATATACTGACAAAAAATAATCTATCCTGGCACTGGACTTTCTCACCGCTTGGCTAGTTTCACGTTACTCCTAGATGACTTTGTTATTGAGCAAAATTTTGAAATCGGTTAAATAATGCCTGAGTTATGTAATATCCAATTTGGCATGTTTTGATAAATCACCCTGTATATCCGTAAAAACCAAGTTTGGTGCTTTTTATTTTCAAATATGAAAATATCTCGGTCCATACTACCCACCTGCCATTTGACTGTCCGTTTCCTCACGGAGCACCCTGTTTATTATATCTTCTGGACAACATACTAAGTGACATATAAAATGCAACATCCATAATTATTTATTAAATTTTGATAAAAACTTGTAAACATATTTGCTATCATGGAAGTATACTCTGGTAAAATGTTGAAGGCATTCCTAGCAATGCTTTTTTTGTAAAGGCTTTTTTGTCAAATCAGGATCCGAACAATATGATCATGTTTACTTAATATTCAGTGATTGTTCTGTTTTGGCTCCATTTGTTTCATTGTTGTTTCATTTCACTGAACTTTCCGACTTTGAGAGAGGTCAGATAATCGGGTAACGTGAACCAGGATTTTCTTTTAAAAAAATTGCTAATTGGGTGAATCGAATCGAAGCTACTGTAATGAGACGTTGTCGAGCGTGGTTCCAAGAAGGCTGAAATCGGCGAGTTAGAGGTACTGAACGTCAAATACAGACTACAGAGCTACAAGATCGTATTTGAAGCCACTAGCGTTTAGAGATCGATTTTGCACAAATAGGGCAGTTGCGAACCAGTGGGTTGATGCGGGCGGAAACACTAGTTTAGGCATGGTCGATAACTGCTACCAAGTAAGGTTAAGCTTTTGCAACTTTTGGCGCGTAACAAGGTGGTGCGGGCGCCACCTCTGGTGCAGGAGATCAAATAACTGAAAAACACCTGGCAGCAAGCGGACTCTTCGGGCATAGTACAAATCCCATGAAATTGACAACATCCGCCGCATAGTTTTCACTTGATTATACAATCAAATACACTGCAGGGATGAAATCAAACACAGGCAGCAGCGTTGGCCGCAGTAGTAGACTCTTCGGTCTCCTGATCAGTCGCCGTGCGCTGTGCGGGTTCGAATCCCGTCCCAAGAGACATTTTTCTCTTAGCTATGGATGTTGTGATTGTCCGTAGGTGGTACACGGTCTCTGACTGTCGAACGCGGAGGTACCACCCGGCGGATCTCGTTGGCGGGGCCAGAATGTATGCATGTTGCATGCACACGTGTTCTCTCGCCAAAGTCTGTGTGGCGTTCCCCCTTTCCCCTGTATCCCCCTATAGCCCCACGGTACCCCATGGGTGTTTAGGCCTTAGGCCTTCATGGCAGCCTAATAAAAAAAATAATAATAATAAAATTGACAACTGCGAAATTGGTTCAGCCCTGTAGGTTTACAACTCTTTATTTTAATCAAGAAATTTATTTATTTAGAATTAACTAACAATACCCTAGAATCCAAAACAAAGATCCACTCTTCAATAAACAATTGCATTTTGGAATCAGCATCTGGATACGCTCACGGGCACAGCCACACCGATGTTGAAAGTGTAGTCACAGACGCACAGAATTGGTTGCCAATGTTCCCAATATCCCTATTTAAAGTTATAGAAATTTCTGATATATCCATACATTTTATACAAAGACAACGTGAGTCGTCTGGAGGGGGGTAATAGTCCCTTTACCTCCCTCCTTTGGGAGCGTCAATAGCAACAAATGTATTTATGCTCCGACCATGAACCGGTGCAAGCTATAAAACAAATGAACTACACAAAAAAATAAAATGTTACCATCATGACATCATTAATTTTTAATTATACCAACAAAATAATAATTAAAGCGCGCATTTAATGCTTCCTGTTTCATATGGTCGTGACCGTGATTTGTAGATTATTCTTGGAGCATTATGCACATACGTGCTGAAGATACACGTATTTGTAGCATTCGGTGGGTGGACGGAATTTTCATAACTGCAATTATAACTAAAATAAGGAATATATTTAATTATTTATACTACTGATGAGTCATAATTAAAAATGCAATCTATGTGTTTATTTTCTGAAAGATGATGTCAAGTAGCTAGCAGGTACTTTCCAAGCGTTTTAATAGAGAGTTTTTGGTGGTCTTGTGTTGCTGCTTCGTTATGGTCTTCGTTATTGCGATTTTGTGCAATAGCTAGAATATCCTTTCCTATGCGTTATCGAAATAAGAAATATCCGTTAGTTGCGAATTATAAGGGAGAGTTTATTTCGTAAGGTTGTTATTCCCTTATTTAGCGCTGTTGTTCGAAATCGTAAAGCTGGGTAAGCTTAATTAAAATAATTTCAATTCGTAAACACGCATTAGTTTAAATATATTACAAATATGAGTTTTAGATCACAGATAAAAATAAATGCAAGATGTAGACACTATTCTAAGTAAATTGAATTGTTTTGATGTTTTGTTATAAATATGGTGATTGGAAATTCGACCTATTCCCTGAAAGTGGTGATTCTAGAGGTTATTTGAGATAAATTAATCCCCATCAACTGGGAGTTTCCGAGATATTGGCATTTCAAGATTTTTTAAGAATTTTCTGCTTACTGATCAATACAATTTTTTTTAAATCTACTCTTTTCTTGGAACTAAATTGATGGTTTTCTGAGAGCTGTGAAACTAGCAAATAATTGAGATAAAAATGCTATACCAAAAGTTGGAAACTGTTAGAATGTTAGAACAAGGCTGTTAATAAAGAGATTTTCATTTTTGTTTATAGTTTCCGAAAATCAACATTGAGTTATTTGAAATAAAATGGATGACAGTCGGCGTACAAATTACGAAAATAATTACAGAATTTCATGAGCTTTCAATGACAGTACAAATTTAACTTTTTCATGCATATCCTAAAAAAAACTTACAAAGGGTACTGTAGGTACAACTGAATTTTAAATTAAATGAGCTCGGTAAAGTTTGAAATCTAATTAATTAAAGAAAAACATGTACTTTATAAAGAATTAATGAAACAAACACAACGTTGGTACTTAAAAACTATATGTCTTGTTCAAATTGCTTGTCATTGTTACGTATGCAAGCACGTAGCCTACGACATAGTTGGGTCACTATCACTTTTGTTGAAAGAGTGCGTTTCATCTCGTTGGGGGCTGCCAAAATCCTCTGCCTCAAATCTCAGATATCTGCAACGGATGTATTGTACACTAATTGTTTCATGTGACCCCAAATATAAAAATCGCAAGGCGTCAAGTCCGGACTTCTCGCTGGCCACGGCGTTGGGCCTCCTCGACCGATCCATCTCTGCGGATAGTTTTCATCCAGACATTGTCGTACACCTCGAGAATAATAGGCTGGGCAGCCATCATGCTGTTATATCATATTGATTCTCCTAGCTAGCGGAACATCTTCTAGTAATGCATGTACTTCATTTCTTAAAAAGTGTTCATAAGTGGTGCCATTTAAATTGTCGTGCAAGAAAAAAGGTCCAATCAATTTATTATGTAAAATTCCCATCCAAACGTTTAACGAGAATCTTCTCTGATGCTTTCCTTCGTTGAATTGTTTTGGATTTTGACGCTTAGGGGCCCAATAGTGGGCATTGTGGTAATTTGTAATACCATCACGATCGAATTTCGATTCATCAGTCCAAAGGATATTTTTGAGGTAGTCTGGGTTTTCAATATCTGCATGAATTAAGAATCTACAAATGTCAATCCTTCCTGCAGAGTTGCCCTCCTCGATAGCGTGCACTGGAGTGTAAGTTTATGGTAATGTAATGTCTTTGATATGGTCAATCACCAGATACTACTAAGTAAGTTATCTCATTATGGAATGTCGGATATAGTTCTAAGGTTCTTTGAGTCATACTTGCTAAATCGTCAACAAACAGTGAAAACTGATCAGGGAATTTCTCCCTCTGAGCCAGTTCCTTCAGGAGTTCCTCAGGGCTCAGTATTAGGTCCCTTACTATATCTGATTTATACGATCGATCTGCAAGACTGTTTTGGAAAGCTCATGAATTTCTGCAATTATTTTAGTAATCTCTATGCCGAATATCATACATTTAATTTCAAATAACTTATGATGATTTTCGGAAATAATAAACAAAAATCAAAATCTCTTCACTAACAGCCTTTTATTTCTAACACTTTCAAACTTTTGGTATAGCGTTTTTCTCTCAATTATTTGCTAATTTCACAGCTCTCAGAAAACCATCAATTCAGTTCCAAGAAATGAGTAGATTTTTAAAAAAAAATTGTATTGATCAGTAAGCAGAAAATTCTTAAAAAATCTTGAAATGCCGATATCTCGGAAACCGCTCAGTTCCGACCCCCAGTTGATGGGAATTAATTTATTACAATTAACATCTAGAATTCAGGGAATAGATCGAATGTCCAATCACCCTGTATACGCATTGTGGCAAGGTAGCCTTTAATTATCTGGCTTAGTGGTCATGCATCCTTATGTGGTGGTAGCCTTTGATTCTAAAAGTCATTTCTGGTCCGGTTGATATACAAATATTACCGACATTTTTCTATACAAAAATGTAACAAAGTTTTGAAATTTTGGAGTTAGCTTCACGTCAAAATCGAAAAAATAAGCAACCTGTCATGACTATCGGTAGTCAGTACTTTCAAATAACCAGGGTTCATCTTAGCAGTCATATAAGCTCTTGTTTCTTCAACGATATTTATTTGCTGTCGCTGTAAAAAATAACGCAACGGACGGCTTAACGATTCCTTTTCACAACTTATCCGACAAATTTTAATCACATATGCACTGTTATGAAAGAAGTTGATTTCCAAAAAAAAATGTAATAAGAGTCCTACAGAAATTAAGTTTTAAACCTGAGTTTCAATGACATTGAGATATAAATATCTGTATTTTGCGTTAATCGTGGTGATATTAGAGCACGCATTAATAATAATTTATTGTAGCAAATGTTGTACCAAACAACTGACGAAAACAAAATACCTGGAATTTTTTGTTTTTTCATACTGATACGAACGTGTAAATAAGGTTTAATCTGTATCGTGGGTGATCTGAATGAAGTACGGTTGATTTTTGTGAAGTCAAGTAAGAAAGTATTTTGCGAGTTTATGTTTTTAATTATTTATTAATAAAAATGTCACATGTGTATACTAATGATGAGTTAGTGGACGTTGTTTTAGCGTCCGGAGACGCAGGGCAAAATTCGCGAGCTGCTTCGCGTTTGTATGCATACCACATCACGAAACATTTAGTTCAATTGTTTTACGTGCACGTGCTAGTGGAGATTTGCGCCCCAAACGTGGAGTGGATGGGGGTCGGGTTCGCCCACAACGCGTTTTAAATGCCGAAGACGAAATTTTGGATATTGTGGAAGAAAATCCGGGAACAAGCCCAACAGGTCCCAGAAGAGTCACATGTAACAGCGTAGCGCATATTACATGAGGCCCAACTGTACCCTTATCACGTCCAGAGAGCTGATATTTTGGCTACCGATGACGCTATTTTTACTCGTAATGGGACCCTCACGCTGTGGTCCAGACACACCTCCAACGTTTTTCTTTAAACGTGTAGGCAGGTATTGTCGATGAACGTCCAATTGGACCGTTCATATTTCCAGATCGGATGATAATAATAATAATTTATTTCATTGTTGAATAGAACAGAAAATTCTATAACAAATTACAAGGTCATAAAAATAGCGGTGACGAGTTGAAAAAGTATAAAAACATAAATCTAAACAAAAAACTCCTCCAAGATGTAGAAACATTTGTCTATCAAAAAAAGTTTTAGTTTTCTTTTGAGAACAGCTACATTTGATTCATTCCTAATATCATCATTGAGCTTATTAAAAATCTTACATCCCATTTACCAGCATGTTTATTGGTATGCCGTAATTCGATGTACCGGCGGGATTAAAAGCATCTTAGACCTAGTTGGATATTTATGCTGGTGTTTGATGATTTCAAATCGCGCTTATTTTTGAAAACAAACAAAGCCAACTCATAAATGTAAATACCTATAACAGTCAACATTTTTAGTGTTCTAAAAGATTCTCTACAGGATTGACGCCAACCAAGGTTATCAATAATTTAATGGCATATTTTTGCAGCACGAGAACTCTCACAGTTGGTGAACTGCTTCCCTAATTGAGAATATCATAACGGATATGGCAGTTGGCAGTGGCATAGTATAAAGTTTTTAAAATTCGTTTACTGCACTGCTTTGCTAAGAATTTCAAGCCATAACAACTCCTCCGGAATCTATTGCACAAATACTCAACGTGGAACCCCCACGACATTTTTCACAATCAAGTATCATCCCCAGCATGTTAACTGAATTAGATGATGGAATTCTCTCTCTCTGTTAGAATGATCAAAAATGTTGAAATCTTGTTCATCTTTTAATGCGAATTTCACAATGCTCTCTGTGTTTACTCGGAGGAAGTTATTTTCAGACCATTTAATGATTCTATTGTATAGAATATATGTGCTATTTTTGGGCTGCAAACGTTTTTTTGTTTCACATGTGGTCGCTAGAGGGCTTTTTTCGACATTCAGCCAGAAATTGTTGATTTTCTAAAAAAATAAAAAATGCATTGATATGACACGCTCGCGAAAACCGCATCTCGATATCTTGTTCCTAACGTAAAATTTAGACCAAAGAAATTGTTTTAAACTAATTTTTCTGGAATTATTGTACTATTTTATGTTCTTTCCAATCTTAAACATAAAAATAAGCCTAATATAACTTACCATACTTCTTATTTTTAGCTGGTACTTCAAGTGTGAAAATGGATTTTGTATAAGAAACTCGGATCCTAATGATAAATCAAACTACCCTAGTCTAGAACTATGTTCCTTAGTATGTAGCAATTTCCTCAACGTGTGGCCACAGCCAACAGGAAAAATGGCCAGTTTGAAAAATATTGTCAGAATAAATCCAAAGTGAGTATGTGTTAACGAAATATTAAAAATGTGATCTTCTAGCCGTAGTATTATAGTTAGTATTTGTATTCTAAATAATTTTGTAGAACATATTCTAGTAACTTAGCTGAGAATGATTTCAAACCAGACTGATATTAACATATTTCAGCAAAATAGAAGTAAAGCTAAATGGCCCACCAGGAACTGAGGATTTCTTTTCGGACAATATATTGTATTTTTCTAAAAAGCTGAAAAAAGACGAACCTTATAAATGTCACGAAATTATGTATCCACTAAAAATCGTTCTGACACCAAAATCTAACAATCCACAATTAGATTTAAACACAAATGAATCTTATGCATTGGAACTTACTTATGAAGGTGAGTAAAAAACATCCTTCTGTTATGAGATTTATGTATTTTCTTGCTGGTACATTTTTGCGATTTTCATCGAATGATAAACTGAAATGGTATAAAATATATGAAAATTTTCAAATTGTTTGAAAGCAGCGATTCTATCCTGTCCAGGTGCTTTACGTATATTGACGTTTTTGATATAATCTTGGATTCTCCAATCTACGTAATTGTTTTGTTGAAACCATTACTATTTTCATACATATGTGTTTTAAATTCGACCCTCACCACTGGGATCTCGGAAACTGTAAGAGAAACGAGCTCGCTAAGAAAGTTTCGAAATTCAAAGCACTTCCGGAAGGAAAAAGCTGACTTTCCCAAAATGGTTTTATTTTCTTACTGACTTTAATTGTGGTGGGATTTCAAAATAAATTGCACATTAATTTTGGCACTTTTTCTCCTCTACAAGATGGCGTAATTAGAATTCCAATATGACGTTTCGTCTCTTGTCTTCCAGCATCAACTTAATTTTTTTATGGACGCCATATTGGACTTTAAGCAGATGAATAGAGTTTTTAATTCTGATTTCAAGAAAACAGAATTTTCTAGGCAGGCCTTGGAATTATCAGATTCCATTTGTTTCATATACCAGGCCAGACCTCAACATAGTTTTGAAGGCTGAGAAGAAGAGAAATAAATCGAGCAGTGAACAAAGTACAGAGAAAAGTGAGGCTGTGCCTACAAAATGACGGACATTTTGAACATCTGCTAAGATTTATATCTGCTTATTTATGATTATTATTGTTATTACCATCAATAAAATTTTAATGTTCTGTTCAGGTTTCACCATACCTTTTTATTTCCTTATAATTTTTATCCAACAACAAATTTATGGCGAACTAAATAAAATGCAGAATCCATATGAGGAAACAATTTTGGTGATGGAAGTCGAAAGACAAAATGTCGAAATGAAATTTGCATGGAATTTATTTTAAAATCCCATCTCAAATAATGTCAGGCAAAAATAAAAGTGATTTTGAGATAACCCTATATTATTATACATTTTTGAAATCAGAATTAAAAACTCTATTCATCTGTGCAAAAAAGTATGGCGTGCGTAAGAAAGTAAAGTTGATGCTGGAGGGCAGGAGACGAAACGTCGTATTGAAATTATAATTATGCCATCTTGTAGAAGAGAATAAGTAGCAATTTTAATGTGCGTGTTATTTTGAAATCCCACTACAAATTAAGTCTGGGATAAATTAAAATGATTTTGGGAACATTCGGTTTCTTCTATCTGTCTCCGGAAGTACTTTCTAAACTTTCTAAGTGGCATTTTGTCGATTATATTAGTATGGTTTTTGAAAGATAGGTAGTAGCTTATTCAAATGGTTTATTTTGTTTATACGAATATGATGTCTTCAAAATAACTTCCGTGTTAGTTTTTCGAGATATTTTTAAATTAAGTCACAATAAAAATGAAATACCAGTTTTCATATGAACATTTCAGGTAATGCAATAACAGCCTCAATCTCAGGATACTCCATTTTTGGAATTCGCCATGGGTTAGAAACTCTATTCCAACTCATAATTCCTTACGAAGATGGAAACCAAAAATGCATAGCCACCTTAAGTTACGTTCTTATTAACGACAAACCTGTGTACAAACACCGCGGGCTGTTATTAGATACAGGACGAAATTTTCTAACTGTGAGCACCATCAAGAAGCATCTGGACGCTATGGCTGCTTCAAAACTGAACGTATTGCATTGGCACATCACAGATTCGCAGAGCTTTCCTTTGGAAGTGGAGAGGCTACCAAATATGACCAAGTAAGGGTATTATCTTTTTCAAAATTTAAGGATTGTGGAATGGAGATGTGTGTGCTCCCTTTCCTCTCTCTCTATCTATATAATATATATACAGGGTGGCGCATCGAAAACGAAACAGACGCATTTACTGGCAGCTCATTTTTTTTTTTGGAAAAACGCTCAGACCCGTCGATTTTGTTTTCGACGGGGACACAAGTTTGGCAAAAAATCACGTTAACACGTGCAGCCCCCTGGGCTGGATCTTAAATGGAAAGGGGGGTCGAGTGATACCTTATTTTAAAGGTCTTTCAATTCCCTTTATAATGATGTAAAATACATGAGCTTCAGTTCAGAAGTTTTAAAGATTTATTGATTTAAAGCTTAAAGCAGACTTTAATAGGTACATCAGATTAGTTTGTACTACTTTCAGAAAAAAATGACTAAAAGAATTTACTTAATAAGTAAATGCTGTTGAAAATAGCTATTAGAGCGTTTTTTTGTGGCAAAAAAGTTATTTCTTTAAGAAAGATAAGGAAATAGGAATTTATTACATAGTTTCCGATTGATTTGACCAAATTTTTTTGCTAAAATAACTTGTAACGCTTTATTACATAAATTAACCATGATATATTCCACAGCAGAAAGAGCTGAAATTATCGAAATATTTTTCGGAAATAATCAGTGCGCTAATAGAACAGCAGAAATATTTAATGAGCGACATGAGAACAGTAACGTGCATCGAAAATATGTTATAGAACTTGTAGTTAAATTTCGGGAAACTGGATCAGTCGCCAATAAAAAACGCAACATTGAAAATCCCATAAGGAACGAAGCAATAGAAGTGGGGGTTTTGGGGCAAGTTTATGTAGATCCTACGTTAGTACCCGCAAATTAGAGACAGTGTGTGGTGTTAGTCGACATACTGTCCAACGGATTCTAAAGGCCCATAGTTTTCATCCGTATAAAATTCACCTGGTACAAGAACTTAATGAAGACGATTTTGATCGGCGATTACAATTTTGAGAAGATATTAGTGAACGAATTATAAACGATGAACATTTTCTATTCAACACTTGCTTTTCCGACGAATGTTCCTTTTTCTTAAATGGCATAGTAAGTCGTCATAACTGCCGATATTGGTCCGATTCTAATCCCAGAATTTATCGTGAGGTTGACACACAACAGCCACAAAAATTAAATGTTTGGGCTGGTATTTTTGACGATCATTTAGTTGGTCCTTTTTTCTTACCTGGAAATTTGACCGGTGAAATGTATTTGGAATTACTGGAAGACGCCATAGATCCTTTATTAACAAAAAACAAACTGATCAATCTACTAGAAAAGTAAGTGACATGTTATACGAACGCTAAAAACACACAGAAGTTGAAGACGCTGTTAGGTTGAACACAACGTTTGGATTGACGAACACGACGGCACTGTGGACTGATATTATGGCCGCCCAATTAAATTCAATTTTATCAAATTTTATGCTGCCATAAACAAAAATTATTCGCGGACGCAGCGACATAAATCATTTCCAGTAATATAGAATTTCTGCAATAAAGCACCTGAACATTGTAATGAATTTCTGGATACTATTACGCTGTTGTCATTCCTACAGTTATTTTGCGCTAGGATAACACGTCATTCAGAAGACGTGCATATAACATTGATCATATTGAAACCGAGAGAAGTCTATTAAATAGATAAACTAAGGACTGATAAATCCCTATAATATCTTCTCCATCTTCCAGATATGGTGCATACAATGAAAAACACATCTACTCAGTATCAGATGTAAAAGACCTGCTTAAATACGCTAACAGAAGAGGGGTAAGAATTCTACCAGAGATCGATGGACCATCACACGCTGGAAACGGGTGGCAATGGGGAAAAGCAGCAGGTCTTGGAGACCTCGCAGTTTGTGTCAACAGACAGCCGTGGAGGTCTTTGTGCATTCAGCCGCCGTGTGGACAGTTGAATCCGGCCAACCAGAATCTATATTGCGTTTTGGAGGATCTTTACAAGCACATGAAGGATCATTTTCCAGATACCGAGATGTTCCATATGGGAGGTGATGAGGTATGAAAACCCATAGCGCTTATTGCTACCATGCAAAACAAAACACGTCATACTCAATATGGCTGATGTTGAGACAATATAAGGTTTGTTCGTAAAGTGGTCTGTGACTGTGTCTGGGATCCGGCCGTGTGAATTCCGTCTGTATAGCGTAGCAGAGTGAACGGAATTTGTATGGCGGAATTCTGGACACGGTCACTGACAGGTTGGCGACTGCTGTACCTTCAGGACTATATCCTTATTCAAAGATGTTGATCTCACACCATTCAATTTCGGCTAGTTACCTATATTCCCTAAAAATCTAGACTTGATAAAGATGCAGTGATAAAGAGCCATATTTAAGTATGGCAGACTCGTAGGTTCCGTAGATCTCATGTATTTGTATTTAGCGGTGGAAAGTACGTCATTTTTTAAGTATGAACCATTTTGTATTTGAGTTAGAGAAAATTTATTTATGAACGTAAATTGTATCTCACAAAGTTAAATATAAAGGTTTTTTTATTCTTCAACATCACCATAAACAAACATTTGTCAATTCGTGGCACCAGCTTCTGGATCCGGTTGTTAAAGAACGCTGAACTCAGACTTTTAAAGCAGTTAGTAACTGTCTCTTTCGACAAATTCCTTAAGTTTTGGAAAAGATGAATCCGCATGTCCATAACGTGAGGCTGAGCGTTGTCATGAAGAGGTACGATGCCACTAGGAAGCAGGCCCCTCCGGCAGTTTTAAATAGTGCGCCTAAGCTGCAAGAATGTTTTACAACACCTGTCAGCATTTCCAACAGGACGAACTTCTTTGCGTTTAAAAACCGAATCACATGGCGACAAATAAAGCAATATAACCACGCTACCAGCACAACAGAGACTTGAAACATAATGGCGAGAGACTGGCCAAGACTGTCTGAGGTTGAACGGACGCCACGTGACAGGATTCGAGGGTAGGATGCGCAATCGGTGCTTACTTTAAACATGGCCCTCGTATATTTATGGATAGTGGTTACAGGATATTAGATGTAGCATTTAGTTGTTCAAAATACACTTGTCTCCCCGAAGGCATTAAATATTTTTTAAAAATGTTGTTAAATATTGTAGCGACAATTTTTTTAATATAATAAATATATTTCTTATATATTTATAAAATATTCATTATAGGTATTTGTAGTATATATAGTTCATATATTTTTGCGATATTTTTTCCAAATATTTAGAAAATATATGAGAAAAGATTTTTAAATACCAATTTTATATTTTGATGAAATATCTAATATTTTTCGTAAATATATATGGATTTTCAAACATTAATCTGATACATATTTTCAGTGTATATAGAAAATTCTTTATTGGTTATTTTATCAAAATCAGTAGGAATGCTTATTTATATTAAATTGGGTTTATAAAGTAAATTCATTCTAGATATAATGGTTTAATTTGCTAGGAAAAGATTATTAAAAAAAACGTTCTAAGCCTCTTCTGCATCTTGAAAGTCCACTCGTCTGAAAAAAAACTTATTAATTATGAAATATTATTGAATACATAAGCTGCTTTCCAGTGTATTTATGGGAATATAAAATGCAGTGGAACAATATTGGTGCTGAGCATGGTAACTTACTCCGAGTAGCTCAACTGGGTCACTGAAAAGCAGCTCTATAATGCCCCTAAAGGGACCCCAGATTTTCTGACTATGATAGTTCGAGACTTCGTTAATTTTTAAGAAAATTTGGTATGTTATTTTAGATATCTTGATGAAAAATGTCCATGGACACAACTTGATCCTTTGACTAACTTTTACAGAAAAGGTTTCTGAAAATAGACCACTTATTGATTTTGTTAAAATGTAACTTTTTTAGTAAGGGAGCTAACTTAGCCATAAATATTTTGTGATTTTATATTATAATTCAAGGGGCAAAAGTATAGTATTTTCGACTGTTAAAACTTTTGAACGTACTACGACAAAAATAATAATAATAATTGAAATATTTAAAAAAGCATTTTTGATGTATCTCGATCTTGTTGCGATTATATGTTATGAACATAATTTTCGTATCCATCAATGCAAATAACTGTTGCATTTCAAGGCTAGTTATTTATGGTCTTGTGAATACCTTTATACTCAGCTGGCACAATAATGTTTACTAGTCAGTTAAATTATGCTATGTAATTATCGAAAAACTTACCCTTTTCCCTTTTCCACAAAAAAACGCTCAAATAATGGAGGTACACTGGAAGCAGGCTATCGTAGTAAAAGTCACAGGTAAAATGGATGCCTGCCAATAGGTCGCCTCAGGCCGGCTTGCTATTATCCTATTGGTCGCTCGAGGTCACACGCACATGCGCCGTAGCCGAAAATATTTAATGAATATTATAAAAGAAATATTGTATTTAAAATATTTAAAAGATATTGAATTAATATTTAATAAAAATATTATACTACAAATATTTATTAAATATTTGTTTAAGAAAACAAATATTTAAGTAACATAAAAATATCATTAAATATTAAATAAATATATAATGAATATGTCATGCTACCGGGGCTGTATCCATTTCTTTTTTCAGGTCTTTATTCCTTGTTGGAACTCAACCCCAGAATAATAGATTACCTGAAAGGCAAGCCAAGGACTACTGAAACATTTCTTGATCTATGGGGAGAGTTTCAACGGAAAGCTTTGGCGGCGTATGACAAAGCTTTCGAGCATAGCGATACATCTATCGTCGTGTGGACCAGTCACATCACACAACCAGAAGTTATACGAAAATATCTTCCAAACGAGAGGTAACCACCAACTGTCAAGTGAAGAAACTTTCAAAATGATTGATTCGAATGAAATTTAGAATTTCACTTAAGAGTGAGTCAGGAATATTGTACTGTTTTTGCTAAAAAACCTGGCGAGTATCTTTTCAACAGAAAATGTCTAATATTCATGGCCTATGCCGAATCGGAATCATGGATGTGCGGCGTAACGCATAAGCCCCCTCGAAAAGACAATATTTTATATGACATGTACATGATGAAAGTCTACAGTATGTCACTCATATCCGTCAGTCTGTCTGTTTGTCGGTTTGTCCACTAATCCTTGTCCCCTCTATAACTTGGAAAGTAGTGCTCGGATTTGGATGACATTTTTACACAAGATAAGCGCGGCCGCACACTCACGTCATTCCGATTCGGAATAGCCCGAAAAAATTAAGCTTTTCTTCGTTTAAAAACTGTACTCGGAATTTTTATCAGAAAATGTCCAACTGTCCTAGGCTATTCCGAATAGGAATTTCTTACGTATACATCCGCACTTACTACTATGCCAAGGACGGAAAATTTGTCTAGTTTTTGAAAATTAGTCTAGTGGTGGTGGAGAAGAAGGCCAAAAACGAAAATATGTAAATCGCTCAAATTTCGTTTTTCGACGCTTAATCGGATCCTGATCATTTTTAAAACAAATTTTGGGATAAATAATTTGACTTCCTTGATTTTCACAGCTCCGTGTCAGCGCTTGTTTTTGATTTAGATCGTACGTTATTCATATATAGCCTAAAATTTCTTACAATTCAAAAAGAAAACATGTCCTCACAATATGAGAGCGATGACACTGATACGGAACAGTAGAAATCTAGAAATACCTCCGCTCTTATGAAGGAGAAAAAAGACTATGAAAATCATGGAGGCCATAAAGGCGTCTTACAATTGTAGGAAACACACCTATTTGACATATTTCACACATCATAGATTTCCCCATACATTTGCCCTTGAAACAAGGAATGACAAAGAAATATTTTGATACACGTCTGCTTCTGCTCCCGGCGACATGCCGGTGTTGGTAAGTGTTCTGGTGTTACACCAACATTGCCAGATGGACTACCGGTAGGCCAAGGAAAGAATGTCTATGGACAAATTGTATGGACCTGTTTGACTAACTTGATACATTTTTTCAATTTATCTGGTATACATATTCGTAACTAACTATTTTCTTAGAGGGTCTAATTTGTGGCGAACAGAATCCGTTATGAACTGATGACGGAGAGCGTGGGAAATGCAGAGTCAACCTACTTGACGCAATTTTTTTTAGGTATATTATCCAGACCTGGGTGCCAGAAAGCAACGTTAACCTTATAACAGAACTACTCAAGCTAGGCTACAGAGTGATCATATCTACCAAGGACAGATGGTACTTGGACCACGGATTTTGGGGTACCACGTCGTACTATACCTGGAAAGCCGTATACGAAAATAAAATGTACAAGTACAATCACGAAGGAATATTAGGTGGTGAGGTAGTGTATTAATTCTTATTGTATTATTATTATAGACGCAAACGTTGTGGAAATTGGACATCTAAGTGCCGTATCGTCAGTCGTTCCTACAAGTGTAGGACGCCCTTATGCCTTCCATGAATATTATTGTGTTTTCTTTGCTTCAGAAAGGCTGTGGTTTTTCTAGATCTCGGCTGTTCCGTATTAGCAGCTATGTTTTCTTTTTGAATTGTAGGAAACTTCAGGCTGATATAGCAGCTCATAAATCAAAAGTATGAACACTTTGATGCAAATAGATATCTGTAACATAACCTCAAAGGCGAGCTAAAAATAATTGTAGGAACGATTGACGATACGACCTTAAAGGTAATAGGTTTGTTTCGAAAACTCAGTTCTTCAATTCTTCAAGCTTATGTCCAGTGTAGCATTCGGATTTTCGTCTATGATCTGTATAGTAAAACCTGTTCCCAATTGAGACAAGCGAAAAAATGTTGCCTTTAGCGCCAACGTGGGTCTCCAATATGTGAGCGCGACAATATACATGAGACGAAACTCTTTCAGTATTTCTTTATTTGCCATACCACTTATCTATTCAGGATTTTACGTTCGTTTTGACAATTCTAGTTTTCTCGATGTAAATGCCGTTATATAATTTGAAAATCCGTTTAGTAGCGAACAGTCTAATTACCTGTTGATGCGTACCTTTAGAGTTAGATTGTACATGAACCGCAAAACTTTTTTTTGTAATTGAAGACGCTATTTGATAATAAAATAATAATCATCTAAGGGCTACGCTTAGCGAGACATTTTTTTGTTCGTGTTTATGATGTATTCCCTAAAATTGTTTATTACTTTCTATCGATATACTACAAACGATAGAAATAATTTGCATATGCAGTAAAAATAAGAGGAAACAGTTGGTTAAATCAATGATTTTTTTAAGTTTTGTACGTTTTCTATTTGATTTGAATCCGTTAACTGCTTTCCACTTAAAGACAATCATAAACGGTAGTAGCTGCAAAGCAATAAGCAGGTAGACTTAGAAATACCTCTTATGCAAGTTGATATGAAGTTAATGACCTGGCATACCTGGATTACGTACACTGTCTACATGAAAAGTTGTTTGATTTCAGGCTGAAATTTACAAGTGTTGTAAACTTTGGCAATCAACACACCAGTACGTTTTACGATATACTCGAAATGCACTTAATCCAGCTATCGAAGGTCATTAACTTGCATAGGAGGAATCCCGTAACCTACATGTTTGCTTTGCAATCACTACCTTCATTCTTCTCATTAGGCTGGTAAATGATTCAAATTAAATAACGAGAATAACTTTAAAAATCCTTTAACCTAATCAACAATTTTCCATTATCTTGGCTGCAGGACAAATTATTTCTTCGATGTGTAGTATTCCTTGGAGTCCCAAAAATCGTATAGTCTTTCTGTAATCGAATTTTGAATTTTTTACAATTTTATGACTTTGGAAGGTCCAAGTCGTTATATGACGTTTGTATAAACCATTTAGTTGCTCTTATTAAGCATGCATCACAGAACCCAACCACATTTATTTTGTGGTATTTCCCTGATGCTTGGAAACTATCTCTTGTCAAGCCCTTGCCTAAATGTAAAAATCCAAAATGTCTCTCAGACTTAAGACCTATAACTTTGATTCCTGTTATATCGAAGATATTGGAGAAATTGATTAAACATCAGGTCTATCAATATTTCTCTAATAATGATTTCTTTCCCAAGTGTAAATCTGGTTTCCGCAGTGGTTTTAGTACAACTACAGCTTTAGCAAGGGTTTTAGATGACATCATTGCTTCGCTTGATAAGGGAGATGCTTCAGCACTTGTATCATTAGATTATTCTAAGGCGTTCGATAAAATAGATCATGAGCTTTTATGTGTTGAATTGAAGTTTTATGGTTTTTTCAGACATACCTCTAATGTTTTTTATAACATACCTTTCAAACCGTAAACAAGTAGTAGAGATAGACAATACTACAGGTATATCTAGTCCGATTGATATAACATCAGGTGTCCCTCAGGGTTCAGTTTTAGAGCCTTTGTTGTACTTAATTTATACTATAGACTTGGGTAGCTCTGTGAAAAACTCTTCTATGATGTGCTAGGCCGATGATACACAGATATATAAGTAACACTTTACATACGTCAACCAACGAGCTTAATGATGATTTGGAGGCAATAGTAGGATACTCAAATGGTAACAATACTAAGCTGAATAAGGATAAGTGCTCAGTAATGCTTTTTTGTCATGCTGTCAATCGTAACACTATATTGAATTCTCTTGATGTAAAAATCGATAAGGAGCGTGTAGCTGTCGTAAATACTACAAAAAATTTAGGGTTGATTATTGATTATACTTTACGGTTTGAGAAGCATGTTTCGTCTATCTTAAAAAAATGTTATGCAACTGTTTCTATGTCAATCGCTCTATTTTGAATTTTAAAGTTAGAAAAAAGCTATGTGGGGCTATTATATTTCCTAGCTTGTTTTACTGCAGCACTGTGTTCTATCATTGTCTTGATTCTATCACAAAAGCAAGACTCCAAAAACTCCAAAATACTTGTTGTAGATTTGTATTTAATCTCAAGAAGTATGATCATGTTTCCTTAAGTGAATGTGTATATAAAATGCATGCAAGTACCATATAGCAGTGTTTACACATAAGATCATATCTTCTCGCTCCCCCTTGTATCTTTATGAGAAATTTGTTCTCAGACGAAGTAATTCAGACATTGATTTCACACAGAGAAAAAGACTAGAGATTCCTATGTATAAAACAACTTTATTTCGTAGTTCATACACTTACAATGCTATCCTGATTTATAACGAATTAGATGACAATATAAAGGATTGGCCAGTAAACAGATTTCGTAAGCATGTGAAACAGAATGAATTATTTGTCATTGCAGTAATTGTGGAAAAGTTAGTTTTCAATTCTTATGTTTTATTTTATTTTTACGTAATATATGCGTGTATATATGTATAGGTATGTATGTCAGCCAGCTATCAAGTTCGTTTGTTTTGAAGCGTCTTTAGCTGCTTGTCAAAGTTTCCTTTGATTAAGTGGTTCAATTTATTATTTGGGTAGGTTAAGTAGCGTAGCCAAGAGCTAGACTTCGCCTACGTAGAGGTCACATTATATTGTAGTTCTTATAATGTGCCTAATAAAGACATTTTATTATTATTATTATTATTATCTCTGCAATAAAAATGAAAAAAAAAATATGAAATATACTTCGGTAACCGTAGAGCCCTTAGAACATTACGATTTTCGCTAAAAATCATCAAACAGTGTCCTCAATTACCCAAGAAATGTTGTCGGTTCATGTACCCCGTTTTTTTTTTTGTAGGTATGCATGTGGGGAGAACTGGTAGACGACAACAATATTGATTCCAAAGTATGGCCAAGAGCAGCAGCTGCTGCAGAAAGACTGTGGTCAAACCCAAGAAGCACAGCAGAATTCGCACAGTTTAGATTTTTCGCTCATCGAAAAAGACTTGTCGATCTAGGGATTCAAGCTGAAGCGCTGACACCGAAGTGGTGCGTGGATAGTCAGGGAGAGTGTAAAACGTACTTATAAAACTTTTAAATAACGTGTTACCATAAATGTGATTTTAAATAATATATTTTGTAATAAACTATTTTTGTACGAAATAATATTGGCTTTTAACAGTCTAACTTAAGCAATTTCCGATATGGCCTTATCCAATACTTCTACCGTGAATGTAGCATCTTCCTTGGTAATGCACATGGGAGGTGACAAACGTAGAATCTGGAAGAAGAAAGCAATTACTTAACTATATTGTCCGCTAGCACTTCCCCCAGATTGATGCCACAGATTTCTCGCAAACGCACCCATGATGAGCTTGATCTTCACATACAATCAAAGGCAAGGAACCCTTGACATACGTGGAGACAGACATTTCACGATCTACGATTTAGTGACTGATATTTCCAAATGTTATTGAATCGTTATCAATTACCGTGTAAACGCATTACGTAATCATGACTTCGAGAACCAGCTGCTTCACAGATCACGGCAGTATTTGAATGTGTCGAGAATCGTATATCACTGTAAGACTACTATGGCCTGCATGCGAATTCGTGCCTTATAGGTTTTGGTAGTTTTGGTCCATATGCGGAATTTTGCTCAGGGTATCAGGATACTCATAATGTCATCGTTATTCGAATGTTGATAACGATATCAATATCACAGATATTCAAAAGTATCGATATATCGCATCTCCATTCCACATGCACACTGCTCGGTGCGTCGTAGCACTGGTTGACGTATTCTACTTGAAGACGATATACTAATCAAATTCAAGCAGATAACCAAATGAAAATGGTGTTTACCATTTTGGGTTGGAATTTACCGATCCGTTCAAGCGAGTGTGGTTATCAGTTTGGTTATAAGATCCGTGACGTCATGAATCAGCTGTTATATGTCACAGTTATCACCGCAAAATTGTGGTATTTACCCAACTCATGAGTAGTTTTATATATAGTGGATACCAAATAAAATCCGATGCACGTCATAGGTGATGTCATTCATAAAAATCATGGTTACCAACAGTTGACTACATTCAATGTGACATTTCTACTTGAAGTTTAAATTTCCCCGTCTCGATTCGGTTGGTAGTGCCGTGCAGAGAAATGTGAGGTTGCCACTTCTCATTTGTTGACATCAGTTGCCATTGTCCTTTTGTCGTACTATTAGTTCTTTATTGTTTAGTTTGTGAGTTTTGCGCTATTTGAGCTTTGAATCGTTGCCTTGCCAATTAAAAGTTGTTCTTTTCAGAACAAAAGTTACTGTGAAGTGGTATAAAGTATCCAAAATGCCAAAACAACTTAACAGTCGGTGTAAAGAGCTCATATCAATTCTGGCAACAGCGCACAGCTCCAGATCGATGACGTGCATCGGGTTTTATTTGGTATCCACTATAGTCAGAATCACGAAAGATGACTATTACGTCATACCATAAATTGTACTGAAGTAATCATTGGACGTACGTCGATGATAAAATCACGATATCAGGAATAATGACAACAAATTTATGTTATGATTTGGGAAGATAGGTTATTACACTGATTATTTTTGTTTTCATTTTATTTCATGGTTTTGAGTTATAATAAATCAAATCCAAGCGGATAACCAAAATTTCCGTATTATGTACCGCGGTTATAATATGGTTCAAGATGACACACGGGATGGTGACGTCAGTTACTCGAATCGCTTGAACGCGTTGGTTTTAACCGCGGTTTTGTTGCAAGTTGTTTATTTTAGAAAAGCGCGTATATAATCTCTGATTATTTTTATTATCACTTAATAATCGGTGCTTTTTCGTCTACAACTGTATATGGAAAGTTTAAATAAGAAACCTTTCATAATATTCATGGGAGACATGTTTTTTTCAGATTTTTTTTTAATGATGGAACCATGGCTTTGTAGCTATGATAACTTTCAATTCTCTAAATTTTTCCGCATGTCAAAGAAAACATTTATTGATTCAGCAGAAATGATGATAAAAGAAATTAGCAAAACCGTATACAGGTGGATATCATCTAGTGAGTTTATATGGCCATATTTTAATATTCTTGTGGTTTATGGCTACACAGGATACTTTGTTAAGCATAGGAACTACATTTAAAGTGTCCCCAACAACCGTAATGAGTATAACTAATAAGGTGCTCCACATTATGGTAAAACTGAAGTCAGCCTGTATCAATTTTCTCAAAAATGAAGCTGAAGTACAATAACAATATCCAATACCCGGCAAAATTCTAACTTGTCACATTTCAAATAATAACCAGAAATATAAAACTACTCTTGAGTTGGGTAAATACCACAATTTTGCGGTGATAACTATGACATATAACAGCTGATTCGTGACGTCACGGATCTTATAACCAAACTGATAACTACAATCGCTTGAACGGATTGGTAAATACCAAGCCAAAATGGTAAATACCATTTCCATTTGGTTATCCGCTTGAATTTGATTATAATCTTAGTGCGGAGTTTTTGTTTTGAAAAAAACAGTTATGATTAGAATACCTTAAGACAGCAACACCAAAGACCAAAGTATTATTCGACAACAACATAAGCTGCTTTAACATAACCTAACTATTCATCTTTCAAATATGATCGATCATGCAACATGAAAACATCGTCTATTTTTGTCGGATACATGCATATTAGCAATACAGTTTGTTTAGACAATAAAATTATGTTTGTCTCTGTCTAGCATACCTGAAACTTCATTAAACATACGTTATTCACAAATCGCTGTCGTTTGTCTTTACTACAGACTAAAATGATGACGTAATCGTCATCTTTCGTGATTTCGACTATATTCCTGGTTATTATTTGAAATGTGAAGTTAGAATTTTGCCGGGTATTGGATATTGTTATTGTACTTCAGCTTCATTTTTGGGAAACTTGATACCGGCTGACTTCAGTGTTAGCATAAAGTGGAGCACCTTATTAGTTATACTCATTCCTGTTGTTGGGAACACTTTCAATCTAGTTCCTATGTTTAACAAAGTACCCTGTGTAGCCATATACCACAAGAATACTAAAATATGGCCACTTAACTCACTGGATGATGTCCACCTGTGTACGGTTTCGCTAATATCTTTTTTCATCATTTCTGCTAAATCAATAAATGTTTACTTTGGCATGCGCAAAACATTTTAGAAATTTTGGTTATTCGCTTGAATTTGATTACGTATTCCGGTGTGCAAAAATGGATCATCAATATACTAGCGACATCCATGAGACAAGAGCAGATCACGCAAATGAATTTAGAAATCTACTTTGAGCAGTTAGAATATTTGGTTCTGAAAGTCTCTCATAGATGGCGCTGCTTGTTCACTCGATATTTGGCGCCTCTTAATGCATTTAAACGGGTATCTTCAGGTTTAGTACGTTAATTAGTGTTCTTAGAAAGATCCTGAAGGAGACAACATTAATCGGACAACACTCGAACGCAAGAACGAGGCGGAGAAAATGGAGCATAAGGTAAGTCGAACGTGATTAGGAAACACTTTTGTACTCAACTCGGCCTTCAGTAAAGAAGCATGAAGTACTGCGGTCAGAGACCCTTTTCACCTCTTGGAAACAATGGAGAAAATCCAAGCTGACATGAAATGCAATGCCATCAAAGTTGGCGAAGAAATGCCGGCAGGGGTACTAATTATCTTAAAAAGTGAAATTATGTCGGTTTTTTGACATTATATAGGTTTTATGTGACATATAGGTTTCTCTACAAGATGTCAACCTAGCACTAGCTGTTACACATGTTGTATACTCAGGCCGTAGCTGTACGTGTTGCCTAAGCGTCATGATGCTTCAGCTATCAATGTTTGGCTATGATGTGATGTACCATCTGCTACAGAGATGGCATTATTGAAGGTCTAAGCTGTAAGTTGTATGCTATAGTTCGAAAGTAGAAAATACAAATCAGCGCCAAGATGTGCGAAAATGTTTTATATGTGATGCGCCATTCCTAATTTTTCTGTGAGGTGGCTTAATTACACACATCGCGGGTGCGCTGCTGATTTTGCGTAATGCTTCTCAAAGTTTTTGAAATCTCCAAAAAAAAACGGGTAGAATATTTTTGAGTCGAATATGAATTTTTACAAATAGCCACAGAATTAAGATCAATATACTATATATTAACATGAGAAGAAACTTACGTTTCCATACGAGCCTCCTTTCCCAACGACTAATCCTAACTCTTTGCATTTCTCCAATATATCCATACATCGCTCAGGACTAAGTGGTTTTTTGGATGTTTTGTCCTCTACCAATTCTATTCCAATCATCAGCCCTTTGCCTCTCACATCTCCTATTATTTCATATTTATCCCGTAATTTTGCTAAATCCAATATCAAATCTGTTCCCACAATCTTAGCGTTTTCTTGGAGTTTTTCTTCCTCTATTATCTACGGTATAACACAATCAATCGACGGTCTATGAATTGAATATCGTCTCAGAATATTGTTAGTATATTTGACAGAAAGGGTGAATGTAAACTGTCATAGTTAAAAAGAAAATAACCTGGTTAGGAATATCTGCAGAGATAGCAAAGCAATGGTCGTTTCATATACTCTATGCAAAGTGATTCAGAAAATCATGATGACATTTTTTGAGCAGAAGGCACATCCGAAAATAATAAAAAAATGTACCCAGAAACATGTCCTAAAATGTCCCATTGCCAAGATTTCCAAGATACAGTATGTTTTAGATGTATACACCACTGATGAGACAAAGCATGAATATTTTTCACATAAATAATTCAGTGTCAGACTTCACTAACTACAGTGTACTCTACTCGGGCTGAAACTTTTTGGAGGGACTTCACTTTAAATAGCCAAACTAGTTTTTCTCTCAAATGAGCATTCTAACAAAATTTCTCATAGAAGCGGTTCATGTGCAATTGCTTGGCTTGTTCACAAAAGTCATTGTTACAGAAAATAGTTTTCTTTCTTCTTGTTGTGATGTAATCTCAGTCACAATTTTTTTTTATGTATTCGCTGTGCCACATCTGCAAAAATTTAAGTTGATGTAGTGACATACTCCGACGACATATTCCAAATTTTTTTGTCTTGACAAAAGACCATTTTAGGACCCATGTTTATGAAGTTTACATGTTATTTTTTGATTTATTCAATGTCTTGGAACTACTGTCACTATTTTCTGAATCACCCATTGTAGTAACAAAATTTAGACAAATGTGAAAAAATCAACAGTTAAAGTTCGAAGATTTCATTTTTCATATTTTCGCTCGTATTAAAATACCTCCAACATGACAGTTAAAACTAGTTAATAGATTACCACGTTGCTGAGAAGACGGTTGAAATTTATTCAGTATTAAGTAAACAATATAAGCTACAAAAGGCGGATAAACAAATTTGGTTGTCTACTGGTTTTGCTGTTGAAGATTCTTAAGAATTTTAAATTAAAAACCTAGGAATTTAAAACTACAAAAGAGACTTAAACCAGTAGGTATCCACATCCTCAAAAACGCTTAGCGTTTTGGAAGCATGGGAAAATACGACATTATTTGCTTTGCTTTGAACTTGAATTCTTCCGCAACAATATTAGGTATAGTTCTCTTTATAGTATGTTTATGTCTTATCGGTTTATTAAATTAGATATCCATAACACAGTAGGAAGTCTTACATCTAATACTGCAATCCCAACTGCACATGCCAAAGGGTTACCTCCAAAAGTGTTGAAATGTGTAGCTTTACCTAAGCCTTGAGCTATCTCTGGTGTAGTAACAACAGCTGCCAGAGGAAAACCATTTCCAATACCTTTGGCCATCGTCACTATGTCTGGCGTGATGCCGTGCATTTCAAACCCCCAGAAATGGTCGCCAGTTCTTCCAAATCCTGCTTGAACCTCGGAAAAAATTGAAATAAATTTTAAAGTAGTTGGAGGAGACTTTCGAATTGAAATTTTAAACCCAAAAACGTTTTGTGGCAAAAGTTATATGCCTTCGGCATAATAAGTTCCTTTTGGAATTGGCCGGTCTCATATATGGAGGATGCAACACTGAACGTTGGAAGTACAATGTATAGCATTTTAAGCAGGGTATACCACAGGGATCTTTATTGGGACCACTGCTATTCAATTTACACATATGTATATCTTTGAGGGGTATATAACTATGTTAGCAGATGATACCACAATAGCTATATCTACAGAAAATACCAAAATTCAAACTTTATTGTATCAATATTCATCCTGGTGCTAAAGATATCTAATAAGCTTTAGAAATATTGTAATAAAATTTAACATCAATCACACAATCCATATATAGAACTGATTATATACGTGTATGACCTTACCTTATTTGGTATCAAGTATCAAGTAACTGAAAGCAGACTTAAGTTCCAGGAACATATTGATCACGCTTGTAACAATTTAAGTAAAGCATCATTTTGATACACTGCCAGTAAAAGATTTTCTCAACAAAACATCTATACTGGATGTCTATTATGGACTGTCTTATAGCCTCATATCATAACATTATAGTATGGCGGAACTCATATGAAATTGAGACAGTGTTTGCAGTCCAAAGGAGACTCGTTAGGTTATTTTTTGGAATGTAACCACTTGACAGCTGTAGAGAATTTTTCAATTCAAGGGAAATTCCAAATGTGTATTGAGCTAAACGCGTAACACATGTTGAAACGTATAATAGCTTGTTCCCAAATATCAGTTGTTTATCACAAGTACAACAATAGAAATCAAAATTTCAAAATAGTTCAGAAACATACTACAGCCTATTTGAATCCTTGTCACACATGCACCAAAAAACACATACGGTTTCTTCGGGTTTTTATCATTGCTGTTCTAGAACTATCAGGAGCATGCGCAGAAGAAACCGACGTGTTCGGATTTCTGTTGGATTACTATCGGACCGTTTTAGAACTGAAATTTTGGTGTTCGAGTTATATCCTGGTTCAGTTCTAGGATGGTTCGAGAATCGGTCAAGCAGTTACTCCGGGATCATTTTTTAACTGATTTTTCATGCATGCGTATTTTCTCGGTCAATGTCATGTTTTTCTTTAAATACTGTCCCCTTTTTTGCGGTTTGAGAAGTGTTTTTTATTTAAAATTAAAAGAAAGGTGGACAAACGGATTCAATCCAGATCATTTTTTATTCTGATTCGTCATCATCATCGTCAGCTTACAGTGATGATGAACTTGAACCAGTTACTACCAACTTATTTTTTCCAGAGCTTCTCAAAGATGTCAGCAAGAATAATAATTTCTTTGAGGAAACTATTCCTTCCTATAATGCCAAACAATTTGTTGGGCATTTTAAGTGGGATATTTTTTATTCAGCAAATCAACGTCCTAAAGACCCAGCGCCACTAACCAAAATAATTATCTGATAGGACTCTTCATAACCACTCCCTTTACGCATTCAGTCTTGCGCAGTTCCAGAACCGTTCTGTGACAGTACTGCATTTAGAACTCGAAAATAACTATAGAGTCAAAGCAGTTTGACATTCAATGTTTTGTTAACATAGCCTATCTAAGCCAACTTGTTTTACTGCCAACAGCATTTAGCAAATAAACACTTGCAGAGAGGTCAGCAGCAGAATGTGGGGATGAAGCCTCGTAATATTTCATACCAGCTCAATGTTAAAAGCTAAATTAAAACTAGCGTAGCTGATGGATGAACACAAGTTCCTATGTTTCTTCTTTAGTTCTCGCATTACTACCACTGTTGAGTGATGAACACTTGCCCAACGATGTGCTAAATTTGATCAAAACATTCAACTGCTACAACGTTGTTTAATAAATCAACTTACCTCGTCCGCTACGAATAGCCCACCGTTTTGTTTAACAACTTCATAAACTCCCTTGATATAATTCTTCGGAAATTGAACGATACCTCCAACTCCTTGGATGGTCTCTGCCCAGAATCCAGCCAAGTTATTTTTAGAGACCATACAATTTAAGTCGGACTTGAATTCCTCAATATATTTTATACCAGCCTCACAAATGCCCATACAAGAGCATTTCCTATTAGCTTGTACAGGACTGTCTCGACATTTGCTTCCACCCCAAACTCCTTTGTAAACGTCAGGGACAGTTGTCTAAAATATTTTCATAGTACCTTATAAAAAATTATGATGGGCATATGTTACCCCCTTTCAGAAAATTGTCAACTACGAACATAGATGAATTAAATGGATCAAGTAAAATAGCCCTATACAATCAGTTATTTCTAACAATAAAGTGATCTTGTCGACTGTCAATGTCCAGTCAGGCTACCAGATATTTATTGTTGGAATAAACTAAATTTGTCATCAGTTCCCACCCATTTGACATGCAATGGTGACGTTGCTCTCAGAATGGAGATCAGTCAGCCGGATACCCCTGAAAAACGCAGTTGCTGAGTCACCAGCGCAACGGCAGGGACTATATCCATTTCTTGACTCAAGTATCGATGTTAATTCTACTTGTAAGTCTCAAAGGCAAATATAGTGGGAAATCTATGAGTGAAATGCATTCTCCCCCACTACCTACAACCCCACCCTCCAATGTTTTACCTCTCAAAAAGTTTCCAAATATGGTCAGAAGTCTCCGTTAAAGAAGTTTTTTCGTTCTATACCCTGGGCTGCGCCACCACTGAACCGGTTTTCAAAAACTATCAAAGTTATTTCGTCCTTGTTGTGTGAATTTTAATAAAATCTGACAACGAATGGACGGACCGTATATTAGTGGACAAACCGACAAACAGACAGACGAAAATAAGTGAAATAGTTTTTCGTGATGATGGTGATGTCATATAACATCCGAAAAACTTTTTCGAAATGTTTAGCGATACGTCTTCGCCAGTAGCGTGGGAAGTAACAGAAAAAGCCCAAGAGCTTATCCGAAAGGAATAAAAACGGGCTGTATTACAGATTTTCAGGGTAAGAAAACATCACAATACACTGAAAAGATATGTAATTTCAAAATCGAAACGTCGAACACTTTTCAGGTCAGGCTGTCAGGCAAAAATTCAACGCAAAGATCCTCCCTATATAAACATACTATATGTTTTGTAACATTTGGTCTTATACTAATATGCAACTGACTTTTGAATCTGAATCGTCACCATCATCATCGTCGTCTGACAGTGATGATGAACTTGAAGCAGTTACTCCCAACTTATTGTGGTTATAGTTACTGACAATTGTTCTCTTCGCACAGTTATTTTCTGTGTTGCCGTAGTCCTGGGTTCAGGCTGTTCGGGTTTTGACAAAATTCTGATAGTTCACGGACTGTTCATAACCCCTCCAGAGATCTTAACCTTCACGCATTCAATTTTGCGCAGTTCCATCTACAGGAAAGAGCAATCTACTCTCACAGAAAGACTGAAGAAATATATATAATTAATTTATTGAAAATCACTTGAAAATATTTATACTGTACCTGGGAGTAACTGTTAATAAAATGTATTATAAGTTTTTAATTGTTTAAATTTAATAAATCGGCATTAAAGGGGGTTTTTATTGAAGTTTTATTAGTATGAAAGCATATGTCACTCCCTCATCATTGGAGGCTGATATCGATAATTTGCCAGATCCGGATTCAACAGACCAAAGTAGGTATATAAAATCTAGCCAACATCACTCAAGGGAGAAAAAGGTTTTAAAATGTTTGTCAGTGATATCACCTTTATCACGTATTCTATATTCATTCTTCACTCCCCAATATTCTTGGGCGATATGAATGTCGACTTGCTTGCTCATAACAACATCCTCAGCAGCTGCTTTGATTCATTCAATTTCATTCAAGTCATTGATGAGCCTACACGTGTTACAGCCTTCAGTTCCACATTACTTGATCCAATATTTGTTAGTGACAATACTATCGTCAAAAGGTCAGGGACACTCAATGCAGACTCGATTAGTGATCATCGGCTCACATACTGTGATATTTCCGTTTGTTATAAAAAAATAGAGCCTAAATTTGTAACCTATAGAAATCTTAATAGCATTGATATTCAAAGTTTTAAGACGCAGATTGCATCAATGCAGCTTAATGACATTTATTTCGTGAATGATGTGGATATTAAAGTCTCTATTTTTACTGGCAGTCTTATTTATCTATTCGATCTCTATACTCCGCTACGTACAGTACGTGTCACAAAACCTGCTGCGCCCTGGCTCACTCCTAACTTGAAAATGATTTTTCAACTCAGAGACGAGGCATTCGCTGTCTATCAGCATAACAGATCCGATCAGAATTGGGCCAGCTACAAAGATTTGAGAAATTATGCCCTTGCATCGCTTAGAAGAGAGAAAAAAGCATATATGTCACGTTTCCGGAATCTTAACTCTAGTCAAGCTTGGAAACACCTGAGGAGGATGAATGTGGTACCCCAGAAACATGTTGCGATACCTCCCAGTCTCCTTGAGCCTAACATTTTAAATAATTATTTTCTTTCAATTTTCCAGACAGCTGCAGCTGATCCAAATTTGATTGATAGTGTCTCTAACTCTTATAGCGATAGACGCCATACACCCGATGCACTTCTGTTTGCTCTTAAACTCCTTACTCAGCAAGACATCGTCAATATAATCTCTCACATCAAGTCTACGGCATGTGGCTCTGATGGTCTAACTTTAAATATGGTTTGCTTATGTTTGCCTGATACCATAGACCATATAACTCACATTATTAATGCCTGTCTCGAAACAGGTTACTTTCCTGCCAGTTGGAAAAACATTATTATTATTCCAACAGCTAAAACTAATCATCCAGAACAATATTCGGATCTCAGGCCAATTATCTTATTATGCTTTCTATCAAAAATACTCGAAAGAGCTGTCTACTCACACCTTGTGGAGTTTTTCGAACAAAACCACTTATTTCCTCTACATCAGTCAGGTTTCAGAGCTGGTTACAGCACTACTTCGTCTTTATTACATCTTACTGATTCCATCATTCACAATTTAGATAATCACATCAACACCGTCTTGGTACTGTTAGATTTCTCGAAAGCCTTTGATATGGTCAATCACCAAATACTACCGAGTAAGTTATCTCATTATGGAATGTCAGACATAGTTCTAAGGTTCTTTGAGTCATACTTGCTAAATCGTCAACAAACAGTGAAAACTGATCAGGGAATTTCCTCCTCTGAGCCAGTTCCTTCAGGAGTGCTCAGGGCTCAGTATTAGGTCCCTTACTATATCTGATTTATACGATCGATCTACAAGACTGTTTAGTCCACTGTAGTATGCAAACTTATGCAGATGATACTCAGTTAGTGTTTGGTTTCGATCCATCAAAGGTTGATGAAGTTTCTTTTAAAGTTAATTTAGATTTGGCTAACATCTGTGATTACTGTAACAAACACTGCTTGAAGATCAATCCTAATAAAACTACTGCAATGTTGTACTGTTCGAAAAACTCCTACCGTAAAATGAAGCAGAGGATTTGTGTTTTTTTGGATGAGACACTCATCCCTTTTGTGGATTACGCCAGGAATCTCGGTGTTACCCTTGACTTAAATATGAGATTCGATCGGCATGTCTCTTTCTTATCTAGAGTAACGTATATGTGTTTGAAACTCCTCTATTCTAATCGATACATCTTGAATTTTAAAACCCGAAAAAAGCTCGCTGAAAGTCTTGTGTTGTCTGTCATTTCTTACTCTCTTGTTCTTTATTACCCATGTTTAGACTACGTCCACAAAAGGAAACTCCAGAAAATTCAGAACAGCTGTTGTAGGTTTATTTTTGGATTGCGCAAGTTTAGTCGCGTCTCAGATAAAATCAAAGAACTCAACTGGTTGCGAATTGATAAGTTATTTTTATATCTTTTGACCGTCTTCACGCATAAAGTTCTATTATCTAACAGACCAGCTTACCTCGCTAGCAAATTAGTTCACCGAGGTAGTTTTGTTACCAGAGCTCTTAGAGTTAATGCTAATTTTAACATGCCTCCTCACAATACCTCGGTCTTTGAAAGAAGTTACACCTATAATGCTGTCAAGCATTACAATGCAGTCAACAGTAGCTATCGATCCAAACACGTTGTTTCTTTTAAGAAATTGACGAAAAGTCAGCTGCTGGAGTCCATTTAGTTCAGTTTTTCTTGTGTTCATGTGATTTTTTTTCCTTTCTTTTTTTTTTCTTGTTTGACTACTTTCTACTATTTTTGTTTCAAATTTAAAACTCTCGCAATACTATCTGCATTTGTCTCGTGCAATCAATGTTGTCATTCTTATGAATTGTATTTCTTTTTTTTTGTATGTTATTATTTTGTTTATGTGTTTAAGTATTATTTTTTCCTGCTGTGGGGTTGAGTGCAAGAGTAGCCGTCTGGCTAAACTTCGCCTCACTGCAGCTAATAAAGGCATTATTATTATTATTATATTTTTACTGATCTTCAAATAAGGCTCGTTTAAAAACAGCATCGTGGATCCAGAACCATTTTGGAAGTGATAAAAACGTTACATTTCGTATTTTAACTTGTGAACTAAGTAATGAAGATGTTATGAATTGTTTTATTTACGTCTGAAGAGAAAAATCATTGATACCTTATAAATTCCAGGAGATCCAGGTACAGAGAACCTATAAGTACTCAACGACGTCATCTCCATCACTTGGTACGTCATTCCATGATAACAATTTTTCAAAGAAAAAATATCATATTTACCAGTGTGTGCTCTTGCCATCAGCAAAGCTAGATCGTTCGCCTCTGATCCGCTATTCACGAAATACACACACTGAAAAATCATCATTAAAAAGTTGTTATTCTATATTTTGAAAACCAACCTTTAGATTTCCAGGCATAGTATCCGCCAAGCGTTTTGCATACTCATGGATCTTTTCGTGGAAATACACATTGGAGACATGACCCAAAGTATCGCTTTGTTCAGTTAGTACTTTTGTGATCTTTCTAAAAGCAAGAAAAGAGAAAATCTTGAATTTTGGTTGTGAAATGCCAACAATACAGTACTTGATTATCTCGACATTTTCTAAGTAGGAGTTAAGCAATGGAGCTAAACTCTGGTTAACCCATTAATGCCCAGAATTATTTTTTCTGGCATTTCACTTAATCTTTTGATATGTTATCATTATTTGGTAACATTTTCATATAAAATTATGATTTTATAAAAATTATGGTTTTGAAGTAGTTTTTTTTGATGTATGATAAATCATACGCTGGGCTACAGTAGGATGAAAAAATTCAAAAACAATGGTATATCTAATATATATTCAAAGAAACAATTATAGAATAATACATCCATAAAAAGCCTAAAGATTACTTCTGGTGATATTGTCGGAAACAGTTATCTGGATGTAGACCTATATTGCATTTTACACAGGAAAATTTTGTACATTTTCCACATTTTCCACAACGACGCTGCGTCTCCCGTCGGTCAATCCAGTGCTCTTTTCCATCGTATCGAACTTCTGATAGAACCTTACAGGATAGTTTTGGTTTTGGACCAGTATTTGAGTTTGAAGGTGGCGCAGCTAAAAGCGCTAGGACTACTCTTCTACGAAATTCAAGGATTGATATAGATTCATTCCTTGATAGAAGTGCCTGACGATATGAATACCACATATTGACAATAGATCCGTCCAGGCAAAAGCGAATCAACGGCCAGTACCATTTTTTCGACCTAATCCTAGATATATACAAGCCTCTCATTTGGTCGAATCGATCGACACCTCCCATTCCTTTATTATATAAATGTACTAGAGACGGTTGATCAACTTGGATAGCAGATTTGTCATCGACCATCGTTTACACGAGCCTTTCGTCTGGTAAAGGGTTTTGTCTTGCACATTTGATATAACAGTAACTTGACTATTGTCATGCCAACGTGTCAATGTTATGTTGGATGTTGAGTCATGAATTGTGTAGTGACTACCCCTATTCTCCTTTTTTAAATCTTTGAGAGGAGCTTTCTCGACTCGATCTGATCTTACCGTACCCACACAGTATAGTTTATTAGCTGTTAGGGTTTCTAATAGAGGAATAGAGGTAAAATAGTTATCTAGGAAAATGGTACTATTTTGTTCTAAAAAATTTAGGCACAGTTTCTCAGTTACACTTGAGCCAAGTGATTTGCCTTCTATTTTGTCTCCTGCACCGGTATAAACATTAAATTTGACGAGATATCCATCATAGGTACATAAACACCAGAATTTGAAGCCAAAGCGTATGGGCTTTCCTCTAATGAATTGCTTCATATGATGTCTCCCATAATAAGGCTCCATTGCCTCATCTACAGATACGTATTTTCCTAATGGAGAAATACATTCCTGTGATATTTTATTTAGGTGGTCGATCAAGGGTCTAATCTTATAAATTTTATCATTCTTATCAATTTTACTGTTATCATTCAAGTGAAAAAATCTGTGGATAGTTTCAAACTTGTTTCTTGACAACGCGTTTGTAACTAGAGGGTTATAGGTATCCATTCGTGTTTCCTAGTAGCAGCGTTTGGAAGGTACTGGAGTATACCCAGACAAGAGAATTATAACTAGATATTTATAAGATATCTTCAGCTGTGACTGAGAAACCATGAAATCCCTTCTGGTCGGCATATCTTTTTGTTTCTATACACATTGTGGTGATTATATCTTCACTAAAAAAAAACTTTGAACAAATCGATCGGCGCCATATTTCTCTCTAATATATCGGTAAGAATATAATATATAAGTATTTTCCTTTAGTAACTCAATTCGCTGGTCTCGTGGTTCAAGGGTTATTTCTTGCCATGCTCTATTGACTTTTTGTGTACTTTTTCTGACAGAAGGAATTTGAATTTTCAGTCTTTTCTGCTTATCAGCCAGGGTTTCATCATCACTCTCTTCCCAGTTCTGGTCACTTGGTCGGATTTGTAGAGGAGACTGAATTCCAGTTTTGATTGGAGATTTCTCTTTATTCTTGTTAACAGCAAAAACATCTACTTTCTGAGAGAGAATACCCTTTCCCAGATCTCTGATACTAGGTACCATATCGTCATCACTGTGAGCATCATCTTGTCCATGGCATCGTCAGGAGGAACTAACGCGACTTCTAAGCTCTCTGCACTTTGAAACTGCTCATGAGCTTCATCGTCTGAGTCCAGGCTGTGGAAGTAGTTCATCAGCTCCTCCAAGTCCTTTGGATTCTCTGGATTATACAAAGTTTTCCTGTAAAATATAGTGAATATCAAATAATAATAATAATACCTACTGTGGACCAGCGTATGATATATCATACGTGACACAAAAAGTCTCGAATCAATGGTAAATTAAAATTTTAACATTTGTCGAAAATGGAAATACTTGGAGCAATCCCCAAGATACAGAAACGGACAAAGTAAACAACAAATAAAATAACTGATTTCATGGAAATAATGAATAACTTACCTGGTACTCATTCCGATGGTGAATGTGAACCTCTCGTTCTTATAACAGATCACTAAGCCATATGAGTCATAATAGAACTGAATTGCAATGTTGTATTATCAATATTAGACCTATCTACACTCAAACATTTGCATAACCGCTCGCTATGCCGCTAACGCAAGATATAACATAACCTCAAATGGCCACGTGTTTTACGTATGATGAATCATACGCTGGGAGCTACTGGGTTAAACTCCATTCAGGCAATTATAGAATAGTAATATGAGAAACACAATAGGTAGAAACAGATAAGTGGAATTCCTCCAAAGGCTCCATTTTATACCCCATTCGTAGTCCATTTACGCTCAGACAAACCATAACATGCCCATAGGCTGATTGCACAGGTCCGTATTTTCCTCAATGGTTTTGGAATAAACTAACGATTATTTTTATAAGAAGAAGTGCACATTCTTTATTCGCTGAAAGTACTCAAATCTTCGTCCTAATGGTTAATATTAATTATAACAGGTTCAATTTGAATATCCATCATATTATCCAGATCCCACGTCTTTATTTCGATTGTCTCTTGAACCTGATGGATGCAATATTTCCAATGGTTTTCCGTCATTCTGTTGACAGCGTCATAAAACAAATAATTCACGTCAGAAAATTTGAATGTTCTATTGTTTGAAGCCAGGTAGTTTTTTATATTTGCCCAAATCATTTCAATGGGACTTAATTCGCAGTGATAAAGGGATGGCCGTAAAACGGGTTTATTTTGGTTTGTAGCCATTTCGTCAATAACATTAAGATTATATTTATATTTGTGCTGCCTGAGTAGATGGATAAGTTCTGTTTTGACCATATTTTCATTGAAACCAATGTATTTTGATAGCAGTCATTGTTGAATTTCTGCCTTTCTTGTGACATTGTGGGAATTTTTTCTAGTTTGCTAGTGTGGTATGCAGCATTATCAAGTACAATGACGGCATTGTCGTCAAGCTTTGGGAGCATTTCTTCAAACCATCGTTCTGATGTACTCCCGTCCATTTCTTTATGGTAGTCGGTCGTTTTCTTTGACTCAAATGCCCATAGGGCATTGGGCACAAATCCATCTTCACTGCCAATGTGACAGAAAACAAATCGTTTTCCTTTTCTTAATAATTAATAATAATTGTTTTATCTAATATTCAAGAGAACTAATAATAATATAAGCAGAGTATCTAACAGGTATTGGTTCCAAATCTACCAGATATAGCTAAGCTTATGCTACTCTGAAAGATCTATATGCTCATCGATATGTCCTCTCTGTGGAGCTTAAAATATTGTTTTGCGAAGTACTAGTACTCAGCCGTTTTAATTTTTGCAACAGCGTTTATGGGTTTTGTTTAGTTAAGATTGACATGGACAGAATTGAGCGTATACAGAAGTCCTGCCTAAGATTCATTTATGGCCTACGTAAGTTTCAAAGAGTTTCACATATGTTGCTGGATGCAAACTGGTAGAACATGCGATGTCGTCGTAAGTTACTTGCATGTAATATTTTTCACAAAATTTTGTTTTCTAAGCAACCAGATATTCATTCAAAAGAATCACTTTTCGCACTGATGTTCATAATTTACGGGGCTACATATCACCTAGTCCTCATCAAACCTCTTATTTTTGTACATCTTTCTCAAACAATATTTATCGGATTTATAATCAAATCCCTTGATAATTCAGTTTCAAATCAAATATAAAAAATTCATTTTTGGAAAACACTTCGCTGCGCACTAATGTAAATAAGGCACAATTGATCAAACTAATGATTTTTTCTGTACTCTCACTCACATATTATTTCTTTCAGGGCTTTCTAAGGTAGATCTTCTTTTTTTATGAATGTGTAACAGCTACAGGGCTGAACTAAGATCATTTTTTGATGATTACAGCCCTTTTTGTAACATATTTCATTTATGTAATTTGCTGTTCTTTTCAACTAAACGTCATTATTATTATTACTATTATTATTAATTACGAAATTTTAGACGGTAGAAAGAAGAAAGTTAGGAATATTTCGATTAAATAAAGCATACTTACGGATGACAATGTCCTACTGAAATGGTACTAATACCACCAAACATATCAAGGTACCTATTTCCATCTAAATCGAAGAGCCATTGCTTGGAACCCTTATAAAAGGCTAAAGGCTTTCTATACAGCGTAGACAGGGTTGGATTAAGATTCCGTTTCCGTATGCTGACCATTTCTTCATAGGACATGCCCTATTAAGGAATTTTACGTATGAAAAATGTGTGACTCAGATGGCAATAGCTCTTTCCACAAAATGTACTAAGTGAACATCCAGTAATAATGAACTTAATACAATTTTTTATATACATGTTCCTTAGGGTTCGGTAAGTAATTGATCAAAATTTCAAAAAAGTCCAACCGTTGAAAAAATGTAAAAAATAATGATTTGTTGTGCATCCACGGTATCTTATGCACTAAGAAACACCCCCGGACATACTCCTAATCAGATGGTCGATTTCTTCTTCAGGTACCTCATCCTAGACTACTTGAACCTCGTTCCCGAGTACCGATGAAGTTTATGGAAGATGGTTTAAATGGAGTAATATTCTTCTTATAATGCCTCAGAGGTGTTCGTTTTCGAGAAAATTAGAAAAAACCTTTATTTATCTTTTTTCAGATAGAAAACAAAACACACAAGAATATCACTTTTCATTTCAATAAGTGTTCAAAATGTTGCCCGTTGCCAAATCTACAATTCGTTTATAATTTAAAACGGAAACTAACAAAATAGACAGCAATTCGGAAGATTAGACATGGCAACAACCACAAAACAACCCGAATTCTTTCCGCATTCTTTTCATCAACACAGATATCCTGGGCGAACTGTATTTATTGTTATACCTGTTTAGTTATTTGTTCTTAAGGAGAAGAATGAATTTAATTTCCTTTATGACAATCTTGGGATAGTGAAAATTAATTTATTGATTCAGATTTTACTTCAAAGATAGTTTACACACCAGTCGAAAGATTGGAAATGATTCTCAAATTGCTCAAATTGTTGCTGCGACTGGTATTTCATTAGGCTCTGTTCACACAGTTACTAAAGTCCATAAATTTCATATATTCAAAATGAAAATATTGCAAGAGTTAACCGAAGATGATTTCGATGGGCGAGTTGAGTTTTGTGAACAAATGACTTCAGCGATTAATGATAAAACCATTCTTGTAAAGAATATCTGCTTCAGCGATGAATGCACATCATATCTAAATGGATTTGTTGATAAGCATAACTACAGGTATTGGAGCAATGAAAATCCTCATGGCTTTTGTAGAAGGGCATACCCAGTAACCAAAAAATTAATGTATGGGCAGGCATTTTAGGAAACAAAGTGATTGGGGCCATTGTTTATTAATGGAAATTTGAATGGAGACATTTATTTGGATATGTTGGAAAAAACAAATCGAAGAGGATCGAAGCCCTATACTTCATGAGACTGAAAATATATTTCCAGCAAGACGGCGCTCCTCCTCACTATATTTTTTCGGTTCGTCAATGGCTAGACGACGAGTTTCCAGATAAATGAATAGGGCGAAGAGGGCCTATAGAATGACCTGCTAGATCTCCTGATTTGAAGCGATTAGACTTTTTTCTATGAGGCCATTTGAAATCTATTGTGTTTACTCCCTAACCTGAAAGTTCGGATAAACATCGTCAACGCATCATCGAAAGCTGTTTTTGAATTTGAGGAATTTGAACATCGCCTATATCATTGTTTGGCCAATAACGGACAACATTTTGAACACTTATTGAAACAAAAAGTGATATTTTCGTGTGTTTTTGTTCTGTATCTGAACAAATTAATGCAAATAAATATTTTTCTAATTTTCTTGAAAACAAATCCACCGATTTTGAAAAATCCAATGTCAAATTAAAGGACTTCGAAATACTTTCCAAACAAGTTATCACTCGATACCCCTTGTCATTTGAAATTTTTAAGGGGATGACCCTGGGGGCAGAGGGTGAAAGGGGATGAAGTAGTTTTTGGTTAAAGGTTGTCCTCCTTGACAAATCCGTCTTCTTTTAACCAGTGGTTTTTGTTAAATCTGTGGTGGAAAGTTTTGAACAAAAGCCACTTTATCTATGAGGATGAAAAGCTGATCATTTCTTGTTCTAACCTGAACAAACATATACTAAGAGAATCTTTGTAATACATTCATTTTTACTGGGTGTTCTTTTTTCTGTGTCACTTAGAACATCAAATAGACAACATCGATGTTGAAAACTGAAATAGTAGACTTTAAGTTGCACCCACAACTAAGTATTTCGTAGGTTCCCTTCCTGGATATAGTTCGCAATCCCATTCATTTGACGGTACTGAAAGTTGGTTGTTTGGAAAAAGGTGCTACGACACTAGTTTTGAAACTAGAATTGTTAAGTACGATAATTGTGCATTTTCTTTGTACTTACCTTGTAAACTGGTGCTTTAACATTGCACTTAGGAAGTTGCAACTTAGTTGAGTAGCAACGAGAACACAAAATTATTGGGTTTTTCATGACTCGAAATTATAAAACGGTTTTTTGAATGTGCCACAATAAAGTATCGAATATTGCTTTGCCGTTTTATATTAACAAACAATACGATGGTTTGGCAGAAAGCGACTGCGCCAGGCTACTGCATAAGAAAAAAATGAACTTTTCACCTTTTCTGATTTATGCGATGCGCGACATGCGTTTGTATTCCAAATGAACAGATTCTGATTATCAACTATTTAACAACAATTGGTTTTGAGGTATTTATCCTGGGTTATATTTACATCTGTTTGGTGAAAGCAAACAGAATATTTGATTTCGATAACGTATTGGACGTAAGCTTTGAGAGAAAATGTAACAGGCTTGATGAAATTTTGTTAAGGTCTTAATACTAATCGTCAAATGTACATGTTTTAACAATATGAAAACGAATTTATAATACTGATAGCAGACCAAAGCTTCCTCTTGCAGATTGTTCCACAATCTCGACACCCTCGGGACAAAGGAGCGGTCGTATCGGCCGTTCTGGATATACGAAGTTCGACACGGTTATGTTGGGAGGCCAAAGTCAGACGGGTCGGTCTGGCAGGCACATTGTGCGGCGGCATAATGGAAGAGAGCTCTGAGGAGCAAAGCCCGTTTTTGTAACGGTAGGAGAGAGCTAGATCGCCGACGGCCCGCCGGTGCGAAAGGGTCCCGAGACTGTCTGTTAGAGAAGAGTCATCGATCAGTCGGACAGCCCTCCTCTGGACAGCATCGAGCATAAATAATGTAGTTGGGGCGGCAGCACCCCAAACATGTGGGCAATACTCGAGGCTAGGCCTTTTCTGGGCCTTGTATAGAGTGAGAAGGTCATGCGGAGAACGGAGTACTTGTAGCCGAAATGAATGGCTCCTTGGCAGAACTCGGCCTTCCATCGAAACCGGATGAGCGCTAGGAAGCATTTTCTTCGTCAAGGTACATTACTGTGATTTGGAAGTATTAAACTGTACAAGATTGTTGCGTCCCCAAGCAATGATAACCTCCTGGTCTCACGTCAGAGAGGAAGTCGTCGCGAATCTTCTTTTTTCCAGCTCAGCGGCAGAGATCGGCTTGTCACTCTGAATTCCTGCATGTAGAGTGCTGTCATCAGCGAAGCTGTGGATTGTGTTGATCGTGCAGGAAAGGAGGCCGTTCATATGTAAGAGGAACAGTGTCGGAGCAAAGACCGATCCCTAAAGAACACCCGCGTTGACGTTGTGGGATGAAGAGGAGTACGCGTCAATTACGGCCAGAGATAAAGTCACCTATCTGCAAAGCTTTTCTGTGAGGTCATAGGATGGAAGTTTGCTTAAGAGGGCAGCGTAGCCACAGCTGATCTAATGCTTTCGTGATGTCAAGAGTAACGACATGAGCCTCATTATAAGAATGAATCAGCTTACTCCAGAAATGCTTTGTGCCGTAAAGCCCTTTGTGTTCCCTTCGGCCTCAATTATCTTCTCTTCTGCCATCTTTTTAACGTGAAACTGCACGAAAAAGTATGTAGATGCTCAAGCACGTGCGATGCAAGGCAATCGACGACTGTGTCTCTTGTCTCATCTACAACGTCACACGTATGGGGTGCTCGTCACGTCCCTAGTCAATGCTGTTCCAAGAGTTTCTATTGGTTAACAAAAACACGTGCTATGCTGCGTCACCTCACATGTGCTATACGTGTCTCAATTTACGTCTTGTCTAATAGTTATTTTCCTGACAAGTGCGGAAAATACACTTTCCGCAAGGGTTAGAAACATTTTTTTTTACCAGAGCGTAACAATAAAAACAACAATATATTGTAACAACTGAAATCATAAAGATACATACTTTAATAACGAATAAACGTAAACATATTTAAATTGTATTATTATTATTAATTAGCAAGAGAACAGATGCTGGCTTTTTTAAGATTTATGGCGGTCGATAAAATCCTCCAAATTATCAGCATTCCTTTCCTGTTGTAATCCATTATAATCATGCGGTTTCGTACAAAATGATTTCGCCTCAGAGCTCTACAACATCTAGATATCCCTCCGAGTTGTGCCCGAGTCGATTTGGGACACTCCCTTTTTTTTCGAAAATTTCTGAAACCCTAAACTAGCTACCTAGCTTTCGACTAGATATTCCAATTTTGTCTTGAACTCTTTTTTTCCAGTCCATTAACGCTGTTTTGTGATGAAACGTGAGGTCTTCCAGTTTTTGGCAAATGAATGCAAAGTATACCTTCTTCCACGGCCGGATTTAGAGGGGGGCGGGGGGGCGCGCGCCTCTCCCTAAACGCCAAGGTTTGCTATCATTTTTTAAGAAAATGGTACACAGGGTGTTTCAACTTCGAACCTCACCATTGGGATCTCGGCCACTGTAAGAGATACGAAGTCGCTTAGGGTCAAAGTTGCGTATTTAGATAATCAACAAAATGCCACTTATAATCCCCATAGCATTAAATATTTATTAAATATTTTTAAAAAATGTTTGTTAAATATTTGTAGCGACAGATTTTTTAATATTCAATAAATATATTCCTGAGATATTCATAACATATTCATTATAGATTTTTGAAGTATATATTATTCAAATATTTTTCGTAAATATGAATGGCAAGCATTTATCTGATACATACGAAGGATGTCTTTTAAGTTTTGCATATGGAAATAAAACAACACGGTAGGTAGTTTTAAATGACTTTATTGTTTTTTGAAGTATTGTCCACGAAGATTAATACACATCTGCATGCGCTCGAACCAATTTTCGAAACACTTATTCCACTCGTTTGCAGGCAGATCCAAAACGGGATTTTTGAATGCGTCAAATGCTTCTTCTGGTGACTGGAACCTTTGACCACGCAGTCTGTTTTTAATTTTCGGGAAAGTCAAGAAATCGTTAGGACTTAGATCGGGTCTATATGGAGGATGGTCCAATAATTCCACGTTTTCTTCCGTTAAATACTGCCTTGTTTTTTAGGCTGTGTGCGAGCTTGAATTGTCTTGGTGGAGGATGATTCTTCTTTCGGGGTTGATTTTTCGAAGCTCGGTGATGACTTTTGGGAAACAAATGGTGGTTTACCAATCCGCAGTAACAGTTCTTTGCTCATTAAGAGAAATTGTTGCTTCTGACACAAATGTCTCTTCACCTTGGAACACCCAAACAGCCGACTGTCGTTTATTTTCTGGTTCATAACAGTAAATCCACGATTCGTCACCACTAACAATGCTGTACACATTTTTTGAGTTTCCGGAATTGACACCAATTAACCCTTTCTGCTTTCTGCTCGTCAGTCAGGTGTGGTATCCAACGAGAAACTAATTTTCTTACTCCTTATTCTTCATGTAAAATTTTTTGAGTTGAGGTCTTTGAGATCTTCAAGGACGCCAAAATCTCGCGATATGTCGCATGTCTATCTTCAATGATGAGTTTGCGCACAGCATCGACGTTTTCCTGGGTGACTGCCGTTTTTGGTGCACCCACCCTGGGATCGTCGCTAAGACTCACCCGTCCACGTTTTAATTCTCCATACCAACGGGAAATAGTCGACTGATGTGGCGCTTCGTTGCCGAAAACAGACAGTAACTCAGCAAGGCATTCTTGTTGCGATAATTGTCTCTGAAAGTTGTAATAAATTTTTCTAATGACTTGGTGACACTTAAAAATTAACTGTAGTGAGAAAGAACACTGCACGTATTGTCGTGAAACTTTGAATTTAAGTTTACTAAAGAGACAGGTTAAGATTCAGTACTGACGTTCGATCCGCGCGGCCTACGATGTTTCTATATGCCAAACTTAAAAGACACCCCTCGTATTTTCAGTGTATATAGAAAATTCTTGATTGGTTATTTTAGCAAAATCTGTAGGAATGCTTATATAAAATTGGGTTTACAAAGAAAATTCATTCTAGATATAATGGTTTAATTTGTTATAAAAATATTATTAAAAAACATTCTAAGCGTCTTCTGCATCTTGCAAGTGCACTTCTCTGAAAAAAAAAACTTACTAATTATGAAGCATTATTGAATATATAAGCTGCTTTCCAGTGCGTTTATGGGAATACAAAATGCAGTGGAACAATATTGCTGCTGAGCATGCTGAGTTACTCCGAGTAGCTTAACTGTGTCACTGAAAAGCAGCTCTAGAATGCACCTAAAAGAACGCCACATTTTCTGCTTATGATAGTTTGAGATTTGGTTAATTTTTAAGAAAATTTGGTATGTTATTTTAGATATCTTGATGAAAAATGTCCATGGGCACAACTTGATCCTTTGACTAACTCTTAAAGAAGCATCTTGAAAATAGAACACTTAGTGATTTTTTTAAAATGTGACTTTTTTTAGTAAGGGGGATAATTTAGCCATAAATATTTTGTGATTTTATATTATAATTAAAGTAAACAAAAATATAGTATTTTCGACAGTTAAAATTTTGGAACGCCGCCGTTGAACTTTATATTTTAAAATAGTTACAGCTCATCTGCCACCTACTATGACAAAAATAATAATAATTGAGATATTTAAAAAAACATTTTTGAAAAAGTTTCGAAATTCAGAGTACTTTCGGAGAGAGACGGAAAAAACATATTTTCCCAAAATCGTTATTTTGGTTTTTTCTGGCTTTATTTTTAGTAGGATTTCGAAATAACTTGCACATTAAAATTGCTCTGTTTCTTCTCTACAGTATGCCGTAATTAGATCTTCAATATGACGTTTCGTCTCTTGTCTTCCAGCATCAACTTTATTTTTTCTTATGGATTCCATATTGGATTTTGGCACCCATGAATAGAGTTTTCAATTCTAATTCCAAAAATGTGTAATAAGTCATACATTGACATTACCAGACCCCAAAAAAACAGAATTTCTTAGGTAGGCCTTGAAATTATCAGATTGTTTGGCATACCAGATTTATCATAATATCACTTTTATTTTTTGTTAACTTCATTTGAGATGGGATTTCAAAATAAAATGCATGTTGTCGTTGTTACTTATTCTCCTCTACAAGATTGCGTAGTAAAATTTTCAATTAGACACTTTTTTCGTATGGACGCTATATTGGTATTTTGTATTTAAACGAACTTTTCAGTCCTAAATTCCGTGATGTATTTCCTTAGTTGGCCATGAATTTGATGATGGATGGAAGTTATAAAGAATTAAAAGGGTATGGTGAAACATTAGCACAAAATGAAAATGTTATTGGTTGTAACAACAATAATAATCATAAATGAAC